ATGGAATCACGGGTTGGCCACTGCATCCAGCCCTGGTGGACGAGCAAGACTCAATCTCACAAAAAAAAAAATAAAATAAAATAAATAAATAAAAGAATCCAAATGCATAGGGACAGGCACAGTGGGCTCAGCCTGTAAATCCCCAGACAACTTTGGAGGCCAGGCGGGGTGGATCATCGAGTCCAGGGATTTAGAACCAGCCGTGGCCAACATGGGCGAAACCCCGGTCTCTACTAAAAACTACAAAAAATTAGCAGTATGGGTGGGAACAGCCTGGTATCCCAGCTGCTCCGGAGAGGCTGCAGGCAGGGAGAATTGCTTGAACCAGGGAGGATGGAGGGTTGCCGTGGAGTGAGATCACGCCACTGCAACTCCAGTCTGGCAACAGGCAGACTCCTGTCTTAAAAAAAAAAAAAAGAGAGAACTCGCGCTAAAAAAAAAAAAAAAAAAAAAAGAAATCTAAATACCATCAGTTCTCCTGATCTAAGTCAGGTTCTTTTCCTCATCTTTGTTTCCATTCACATAAACAAATTGATCTCCCACAGTAGTACTGTCTTTTTCCTACTCTAGCCCAATGATAAAAACATTTGGGATGGCGGTGGGATGGGGAATTCCGCTCTTTTCTCCTGCCATGCTTCTCTGCAATCAACTGAAAGACCTCTCACAAGAGGGTGCAGTTGAGAAAAAGAATAAAGGTGGTCATGGACAATGGAAACTGGTTCATTGTCTGAAAAATTATCAAGAAACTGACCTGTGACCCAGACAGAAAGTAGCTTGCATGTCTTCACAGAACACAAGTATACACGAGCTTAAATAACCAGAAAGATGTTTAGTAACAAACACTCTCACAGTCAATGTTGAGTTCCAAAACACTTCAGAAAATACGGACAATTACTTGTTCATCACATCTTTAGACAGAAAAAAACTGGAAATGGTTTTTAGGCGAAGAACAATCTCTGCACTGGTGTTGAAATTATATAAAATTATTTTTATTTTATACTAGAGTCTCAACTAGTGAGAATCATTTTCCCTGAACTCTATGAAGTAAATACATATTATATTCTCCCCTCTTTACAGGTAAGGGAAAGATCAAACAGGAGAGGAATTTTTTTTTTTTTGATACAGAGTCTCGCTCTTGTCGCCCAGGCTGGAGTGCAATGACGCCATCTTGGCTCACTGCAACCTTCACCTCCAGGGTTCAAGTGATTCTCCTGCCTCGGCCTCCCGAGTAGCTGGGATTACAGGTGCCTGCCACTATGCTCGGCTAATTTTTGTATTTTTAGTAGAGATGGGGTTTCACCATGTTGGCCAGGATGGTCTCAAAACTCCTGACCTCAAGTGATCCACTTGCCTCGGCCTCCCAAAGTGCTGGGATTACAGGCGTGAGCCACCGTGCCCGGTAGGAAATGTATTTAGTTATGCATGTAGTGACACAGCACCAACTCTTTTAGTCTGGGATTTACCTTGATAAGGTATCTGTTGGTACAAACAGTATCCAAAACCTGGCAGTATGCCTGCAGATGCATTACTTCTAGTGGTCAAGCTACGCTGTGGCATGGGGTTTGTAATGACAGTGAGATGAGATGATGCCCGCAAGAGGCTTAGGCCACTGCTTGTCTAGTATCACAACAAAGTGAACCTTTAAAATATTATGTAATATTTAATAGCCGTATTTGGCAATATAACATATATATAAAACATGTAAACTTTATCACATATATATGAAATAACTTTTTATCACCAACTTTTGAGATCCATATTTTCCTTTATTGCTGAATTAATGAGGCACCAATAATCCCAGTAACATAAGTCAGAATTTATTCTGAAAATACCATAAAGAGACAAAAAGAGTTAGTCAAGTATTTTTGCCTGCTGGAGACACAGAATATCAATAGCACCTTTTTAAAAAAAAGACATGAACGTTTATAAAATTGCAGAACATATCTTATATATTCACATATAAAATCATGAACCAATAATAATCCGGATGAAAAAACTGATCTGTTTCAACATCAATAAACATTTTATTAAAAGTTTGTTCCACATATTAGAGTTCCCTCAGTACATTATAAGTACTTCAGCTTTCTATTTGAAGTGACTTTCTTAAAAATAACTTTTTTTCTGCTCAGGATAACCAGGTATTATTATAGTATACGTATTATAATAACAAGGTATATGTCTTTGACCTCATGTATGACTCCCCAGTTGCTACAGGAATAGACTTACTTTCCATACACAAATTGGGAAAGATGTCAAATATTGATAAGTATTGAAAAGTTGTAGCTACTCTAAACTGAGTAAATTAGTGATCGTACAAGCACTCCATAATAGTTGAATTAAAGGTTTCAAATTCAGTTAATTACATGAATATTTGATAAATAAGTGAATGTTCTAAATATTAGTTTGACCAAAGTACTAATTTTCATTCTAATGATTGGATGTTACATAGTCTCTATATAATGTCAATTATACTAAGCGATAAGGTAATTTCAAGTTCTTTAATCAAAAAGTATGAGTTACTCGTAATGAAAACTGGCACATAAGGAGGGGAAAAAAATCTTGTTCATAAAGCAAGCTGTGCAAAACTACAAGGACATTGTAGCTTTCCACCAGATATGGAATATCTGCCAAGAAAATATTTTACTCAATCTTCAATCTAAATACTACTAAAACCAAATTAAGGTTAAAAATTATTTTACTATGCACTTGCAATTATACACACAAAATACTGCTTTGATAGACATTTCTCTTTTCACATTTGTTGTGGTATACATCTGAGAGTTACTGTGTGTCTATAATAAGCAAATTTTATATTTCTATATTTCCTTTTTATTTTTTAAGAGATGGGGTCTCATGCTGTTACCCAGGCTGTAGTGCAGTGGTATGACCATGGCTCACTGCAATCTCAACCTCCTGGGCTGAAGCAATCCTCCCACTTCACCCTCCCAAGTAGCTGGGACGACAGTTGCACTGCCATCATGCCTGGCTAATTTTTTTTCATTTTTTTGTAGACAGGTTCTCGCTATGTTGCCCAGGCTGGTTTTGAACTTGACCTTATTTCCTTCTATCTATGATCAGTCTAGTTAGATCACTTGATTGACACAGACCTATTCAAAGAATGTAATTATAAACAAAGGAAAAAATAAAGCTTATGTAACCCATAGCAAGGAAAATTGTTGCCACTCTAAATTTTAGAAATCACATGGAAATGAAACATATGAAAAACTATCAGTATGTATGGTCTAAGAGTTAGCCAGATCGGCACTTTTATTCACCAACTTAGTTAATTTCAGGCATTTGACATGTTTCATTGAGATCACTTAATGATTACAGAATTGTCAAGCAAATTAACACTGGCCATGCATCTTATAAATTACAGATGAATTTATATAACCAAACTAATATACTGCTTAACGGTTTTGATTATTTTAGTGTATTTTTTAAAACTTTGCTCAAAGCTTAGGGAAAAGTATTGTGAAGAATGCAGGGCCAGTCATTAAGCCTATTTTATGTACTAGGAGACTGTTGGTGAATTTTAGGATCAAAAAATGTTAAACAGCACAGCCATTAGAGATAGTGAAAGATTTTATTTTTTTTAACTTTCATCCAAACACACCCTTTCCTGAAAAACATAAAAGCATGCACATCGATGGCATTCTTATAAAGAAAAATTAATAACTAAGCTGTAAATCAATAATAATACAAACGAAAGTTTAAAAGATATGTGAAAAGATTTACAGGTAGGTATACGGCTCTTAATTTTAGAAAATAATTCAAGTCAGAATTAATACAGGTTAAGGAGAAGCTTCTAATTTTCCAAACATTTTGATACAAAAAATTTTTCAACTACTATATTTTATAGACCGTTTGTGAGATTAGTATAGTTCTATGAAACATAACATTCAAGTGATCTTATGCAGGTCAGACTGCCTTGTTAAAATGAGTTAGAATCCACATAATTCCAATAGTATTGCCCCTCAAAGTTCAAATTTAGAACATATCCATTATATTCAAAATATGTTAAATCCCTGTACTTAACAAAGACATGGAATCGATCTAAATTTTACTTTACAGGTAAGAGAAAATTACAATTCGGCATGAGGAAACTTTTTGTAAGTTTTACCCATGCCCCATTGATGATTAGGCCAACTGTATCCTGAGTGTGCATGGATGTGTGCATCCATTCTAAACCAATTCATACCACAAGACTCTTCAAAGACGATGCTTGAAACAGTTTACTCTCTGGCCTGGGAGAAGCAGTGTAACACAGTCACTTGATTCTCCCTTAATCACTATTTCTTTCATTTTGCTTATCATGATCCAATTGGTATGTTTCATGTGGGCCACTGATATATTTTTGCAACAAAAATCCAGTAGCAGTAAGCAGAAATGTTAACTTAAAGGACTATGAGGAAATCAAAGTTTAAATTATAACACAAAAATAGAACAGTTCACACCGAAAGGTCTTCTCCCATGGGATACATTGTTCCATGGCTGAAAATCGTGATTTGGTTCCTGGAACAAAGCTCTTGCTCTAAGGTGATACATATTAATGTGTAGCTCCACTAAACCTAACGGGAAACAAACAAATTCGTTCAGTCCTGATGAATTAAGTCTGTATTTCCCTGGCTTGAGAAGGTGAATTTCTTGACACAGACAAATGCAAAATGCCCCTGCAGTAGCTGGTGAAGCCCACTCACAAGGGCTTAAAGAGGTCAGCTCTGAAAGTGGGCAGCCCAGGCTGGCTCTGCATTTCTCCAGCAAGTCTGCATGCAAGCCGCTGAGCGGCACCGCTGACGGGATCCAAAGGAAAAGGGCCAGAGCCCAGTGGGAATCCACCACATCACAGAAACGTGACTTCTGAACATCCTGTTCCATCAAAGAGAAGGCGGCAAAGGCACATGCTAGTAAATCTAGGCAGAATGTCTGCAGGCTCTCATCACCTTAAAAATCTTGTGAACTTGGGGTCCAACCAAGGTTCACACTGACTATTTGGATATTAAAAAAAAACAAAACAGAAAACCTTAATGTTTTCAAGCACTTATGGCACAGACATAGGGGAGTACTAATAGCATAAATATTCAAAAAGCTGGGAAATTTAAAGTTCTGCTATAATGAATCAGAATCACAATTTTAAGCTTCTTTCTCATATTTTATACCATTTTTTGTGTGTACAGGGTGTGCAAATTAAGCAATTTCAATAAATATTAGAAATTTATTTTGCAAATACAAAATGAGTAAAATCAGCTAATAACGCAATACAATAAAATCATGTGCTAAACAGAGCTTTCTCCCCATGAACACTTTTTACCCTTTCCTTTGAACATCCTGACACTTCTTAAATACAATTTATTTCACTGACTTGTAGAAATAAGCACAAGATGAAATATTAGCTAGCTGCAAGATACTAAATACTTTAGTAATAAGACCTTAGAGTTGTCAGGTTGTAACAAACTGAAAATAACAGAGAAAGTGAAATATGCTGCAAATTAATGCTCAAAAATGCAGCCATCTGACTTACAAAATACACAATCCTCCCAGCTTCTCAAGTTGTCATTAGTTCATGGGAAATGGACAGAGTAGGAGAAACTCCATTTAGCTTTTACCCTTCCAGCAGCCCTGGTGCTAAAGTTGTATTAACCAGGTATGTCTGCCCAAGACCACTGCATATCAGCTTTCGTCACAAATTCTATTTTATCCAATCTTCAACCAACAAGGCTTTATTTACACTCCTTATTAAATTCAGGAAACAATATGATGTCATGTGCAGCCGCCAAAAATAGACAATGTAGCACATCCCATTGTCTGGAGACAGCTATTTTTTTATGCTTTAATAGTGACCCACAGGCAGCCAAGTAGAGTTCCATATATCCAGGTGTTCACATACAGCTTCCTTCCAGCGTCGGTCATAAGCATGCCTGCAGTCAAACCACTTAAGATCAACATTGATGGTAAAGTCTTCTTGATACTTAATTTGGAATTAACACTTTTCCCAGGAAATCTTTTTCTTCTTTCTGGATCTGGTGACTCATAAAATTCTATAAGCATCCTATGGCCAGAATGAAAAAGGTTTGGATTTTAGTCACTTCAGTATTTCAATTCGAAAAATATCAATTAGGTAGCTATTACATGCTGGAAAAGTTATGCAGGTCCTCGGAAAATAAGGATGAATAAGGAAACATCCAGAAATTTGGATTAATAGAAGTTTCTAGTTTTTCAAAACATCTTTAATACGCTCTATGACTAGTATACATGAATTATATATGTACTATTTCAACAGGTGGTTTTAAGTCATTTTATGAGGATGCTTTTTGTCTTTTAAACTTTTGATCTATAAAGTTTTACAGTGACCTGACTCACAAATGGCTAACAACCCGCTGCAGCTTCTCCTCCTTTTTACATGGAGCTCCTCCTATTCCACCAGAAGTCAAAGATACGACCAGCGGTTCTTAGACAGCGGTCCCTCTGTATCCACAGGAGGCTGCTCCCAGGATACCCAGCAGAGACCAAGATCAAAGGATGCTCAAGTCCCAGATATATGAATAAAATGGCATGTATTTGAATATAACATATGCACATCCTCCCAAATCCTGTTTTTTTGAGACAGGGCCTTACTCTGTTGCCAGGCTGGAGTGTGGGGCAACGATAGCTCACTGCATTCTCAACCTTCCAGGCTCAGGAGATCCTCGCACCTCGGCTTCCTGAGTAGCTGGGACTACAGGTGCACGCCTGGCTAATTTTTGTATTTTCTGTAGAGACAGCGTTTTGCCATGTTGCCCAGGCTGTCTTGAACTTCTGGGCTCAAGCAATTTGCCCGCATTAGCCTCCCAAAGTGCTGGGATTACAGGCATGAGCCACCACAGTCAGCCCCTTTTTTTCCTGAGTGTTTTTGATCTGTGCTTGGTTGAATCCACGAATGTGGAATCCATGGATATGGACTGCTCACTGCACCTGGTCTGTCCCCAAAACACCTTTATTCCCATGGAATTAGAAAGGCAGGTGAAAGAAGGAAAAAAGCATAGTAATTCATTTTACCATCTTACATAAGATTTGTAAAGTTATAATAGCAGAACATACCCAACATAATAATCTAAAACACAAAAATACTGAAAGGAAAAGCACCTCTATTGCTTTATAAATCACACACCCTAGCGATAATCATTGTTTTAAAATGTCCAGACTCATTCTAAATGTTTATAAATACTTATAAAATAAGTAGGACGTTAAATACATTTGTCTTTTTTCCGAGAACACATTTTCATGTCAATACATGTAGATCTTACTTTTAAATTTCTTCCATGGCCAAAGTGGTCCTGAATGGCTGGCTTAATAAATTACATCATGTACACTTGAGAGTCAACGAAAAATAGAAGCTTAAAGTTTCATTTTTAACCTATTACACTTTTAATCATTTTCACCTAGTAAAGTTAATCCAGGAGGGTTAATTAAAAACATTTCACTGTAAAACAAGGAAAAGAAGAACAATGATAGTTTCTTGAGAAGAAAATATATATTAAGAGACTAAAACAATTGGCTAAAATTTCTGAATATAATTAACCACAGAAGACATTGTGGATATAACCCTGCCAACTGCCCCTTCTATTTCCAACAAATATAACAGCGTCATGTCTGCCTGCACGTCAGCACAGTCCTCTTCCCCTCCCTTGCTTTTCTGTGCACACCGGCCCAGCAGCTGGTCCTCACACAGCAACACCACTTTATGTGACCTGAGAGGTAGGTCCGGGCATCTGACACTGAAAAGATTTTTTGTGTGTTTGTTGTTGTTTTTAATTTAATTTGCTATGTTATCATGTAGTATTGTCAAAGAAATACTATCAATGAAAGTAGATGGGCCCACTGTAACAAGTTCTTTTAGAGTGATTTGTACAAGTTTAAAACACGATCAGATACGCATAAAATTTGATTTGAATTTATAAAATGTATTCTTGAGACAATACAACTATTAACACTGGTTTCAAATTGTTGACTATACTGAAATCTAGTTGAACTGAAGTTCCGGAAGTGGTGGAACTGTTGTTACTCACTTATCTTTGATTTCGAAACGTTCATGCAGCCATCTTCTCATATGTTCTTGTTCTTCTGGGACATCTTTTTTGTCGATACGATCAATGTGAATATGAATTTTTGGACATTCTTTGCAGAGAAATTCTAGCAAACAACAAAAATAATTCATTTTGTACTATTTTAGAACTCATGGTCATATAAAGTAACATAATTGAAATAAGGTAATAGGACAAAAAAAGTTGTGAAATGATGGAAAAGTACAGATTCCTTAGCAAAAATAAACAAAAGTTAAAAAAAAATAAGGATTATAAACTGGTGGCTGGGGGTTTCAAGCTGAAGTAGAAGAGCAGGTTATAATTTCTAAGTCGACTACAATTACGTAAGTCATTAAGTTAAATCAATAGTACCAAATGTAATTTTTCATGTGACAACTTTTAGTGCTATACGCAGCCCAGGAATAGGAAGCTGGAGCCTCCTCTAAGTCCATACTCACCTCTCTGAAGGGACTCCAAAATGCCTACTACCACCAGCCCCCATCCTAGTGTGTCACCTGTCACCACGGTGACTGCTGCCTCCCCACCAGATTGTGAGCGCCACAGGGGCCGAGAGGAAGCTGGTCTGGTTCACGATGGCACCTCTTTACCTGGCACACAGCTGGGCACTCACAGGCGCCTGATAATCTTCAACTCCTTGCTCGTTGCCTGACACACAGCTTCTCGTCACTGACTGCTACACAGCCACAACAAACTTGCGGGAGCAACCGCCCCTCCTCTCTAACTTGGCCATTGGTTTCTACTCATTGCTACTCCTTGCTTTCCTGATACCTGCCATATTTTAACATATTATATAATTGGTAAAATAACCAAAATCCTTACTGTGGAATAGCCATGAGCGCTGTAAACAACTGTAGTTTTTAAGACTTGCTAATCTGAAAAAAGGAGACAGTCTTTTTCAGCCTCGATTGCACAAGGGATGAGGCTATTATGGATTCTAAGAAAGAACTTTGAGCCTAGAAACTCCCTTCTTTGTAGGTGGCTCCCTGTGGAAAGGTAAGAATGGTAACACATTTAAGTTCCTTGGAGAACGAAGACATATTCCTCAGATTTAAGAGCTGACTAAGGTAGCGAGGTGTGCCGAGTGGGAGACTGAGAGACCTTTTGCCTCAAATTGAAAACGCGTTCAAACACGTGTTCTGAGAAATGATGAATCCTACGCTCCACTGTCCGAGGAGCACTTGTCTTTGCTCTTTCAACCCCACACACTTCCCGTTTTCTCTAAGTACTCTCTGCAACTGCTCTTCTTGATTTCAGTGTCGAGCTCTCAGTAACATGCAGCATTTAGGTGATCAAAAATACCCTGTATTCTTATACGCTTCCAGGAGTAAACTGGCTTTAATAACACATGTGCGAAACAGTAAACAAAGAAGATTTTAATTTTTCAATATTTTTGTCTTAATTTTCCTACAGTACTATCATCTGAAAAATCAAAGAACTGCTTAAAAAGCATTTTCAGCAGTAGAACTGCGCCCTAGGGAAGAGCACACACGGTGCAGTCAGGAAGCCTGGGTCTCCACCTCTGGGCTAACCTTGGGCAACTCTGTCAGCCTCTCTGTGCCTAAGTGTCCAAGTCTATAAAATAGGGATAATAATAATAGCACCACTGAAAGGGTCATTCCAAGAAGATTTCAAGCACCTACAGGAGTGCTTGGCACACAGTAGGCACTATGTGTTAGCTATTATAGTGTTTTAGCCACACATTACTTCTCACCCTATCTTATTTCTATTTCTGATACATAAAAAGATTCCAATACTAATTTCCCTGCCTTCACTGAATTATCTAGATCTCCACCTCAACATTTCCATAATTAAGTAATCATCTGGTCAGCACTGCAAACACCCAATATTTCAAGCGCTGGCACACAGACTGTAAGGAAGATGGAACAGAGTGCATTTCGAATGTCAGGAATAGAAAGCTTCATGGAGTACAGTGCTCAGGATGTGGCAGGGCCTCTACTAAGACGCCAGCTTTGGAAGAAGAGGCAGTGCTGCTGTGAGGAAAGGACTCCAAAATCTGCATGGGTCCTTTCGTTTTTCCTAAAACTTACATGTGCTCAGAATGTGTTTACAGCATGCTTTTGAGTACGCTGATTATTTCATTCAATCTCTGCAATTCTACGCAGGCAGGGGCTGTTATTATCTCCTTGTAAGATGAAGAAACTAAGTCTCAGAGAGGACCAAGGCCCAGCATAGGCATGGTGGGGCTGTAACAGCCAAGTCCCTAAGGTTCAGGACCCAGATAGGGACTATGAGAGGAGCAGGCTACAAAGTGGAAAACAGTTCAATGTCAAATGACATTTAGGAGGTTCTAATACTGAAGGCAGGAAATAAGTGGCATAAATACTTCCTACAGATTTAATAAAGTACTTATATATCCACATTTGCAAAAACTATCTTAGTTGAAGCATAGTTCATATTACATGAGTAAAAATTACCCTATAGCACCTTAGGGAATCTAGGAAAAAATACTCTAAGGTATAATTGTTTTTCTACCTGTGAATTTCTAGTAGGCACTAAAGTACACTGATATGCTTGGGTAATACAGAAAGTCTTCCAAGTATTCGTATGGGTCACAGGTCTATTTGCTGTAGAAACCAAGTCCCATTTACTCTGAAGGCAACACACAGGACCCATATCCAACAGGATGAAGCTGGGTAGGTAACTGCAGTTAAATCACATCAATGAACACTATATAGCCTTTAAAAAAAAGTTATGGAAGTATATATACTGACATGCACAGCTGTTGATGACACACAAGAAAATATGAAGAACAGGAGCTATAGACGCACACACAATCTCATCTTTAAAAAACACATAAAGGCACATACTCTCTCCAACATACAGACATTATAAAAAAGAGGATTTAAAGGAAAATATCCAAACTGTTAACTGGGGTTATAGCTGGACAGGTGAACTTGTGGAGATTTTTTCTTCTTCTTTTGGGTTATCTGTAATCTCCTCTTCCCTGATCCACTTTTTTTTTTTTTGTTTTTGTTTTTGAGGCAGATTCTTGCTCTGTCACCCAGGCTAGAGTCCAGTGGCACGATCTTAGCTCACTACAAACTCTGCCTCCCGGGTTCAAGTGAATCTCCTACCTCAGCCTCCTGAGTAGCTGGGATTATAGGCGCCTGCCACTGTGCCCAGCTAATTTTTGTATTTTTAGTGGAGATGGGGTTTCACCATGTTGGCCAGGCTGGTCTAGAACTCCTGACCTTGTGATCCACCCGCCTTGGCATCCCAAAGTGCTGGGATTACAGGCATGAGCCACTGCGCCTGGCCTCCATATTTTTAAATATAAAAATATTAATAGACATGGAGAGTATATATATGTTGTAATATGAAAATACTGGTAGAAAAAACTTAACTAGGATCACACACAATACTTAAATAGAATACCAAATGTTGTCCTTAAGCACACAATGTATTATATTACACCAGCCATTTCAGAAATATAATTTTAATAAAATCAATAGTAATCAAACTACCTTGTCTCATCTCTGCCGCAATGACATCTTCCATGATGACAAGAAGCAGTGAACCATGCGAGAATGCCCAGGTGGGCTTTGATTTATACTTCCCTTAAAATGAAACTTATACCATAAAATGGGAAGGACAAGGGACACTACTGGCTGCCTCTCTCTTCAACATGAGACCTCATGGAGGTGACCGCATGAATTTCTGTAGCATTTGTTAGCACTGCAGCTTCTACAGCTTCCCTGTAGAGCGTCCTGGTAGCAACGTGGAGTGGAGCAGAGGCTCTGCATGTTCAACAATCACTGCAGCTAATACTGACAAACAGTGATCCCCCAGAATGCTTTGAGAAACACTGGGCCACGGCATATCAACAATCTAACAACTTCATGAAAAAAATTATTTCTTAATTGCACCATAAAATATGAATATTACATCGCCTGCTATATATAGAGATAATATTTAATACTAATGAAATTGGCCACAAAGTACTTACAGTATTCCAAGTTACAGAATTTTATACCTAACACAACTTATACCAGATTTCATATAATTTAAAGTGACTATTAATCTAAAGTAGATTATAACCAGACCAGAACACCCATCAATTCATATAAACAACTGAAAGCAGGGCTGAGTCAGTGACAGAAAACAAAAAAACAATGAAAGCAGGGTTTTTCAAGCTATGGGTTAAAAGCAACACACTAAAAGGAAAAATGTGTTATTATTATGTCTTATGTGCACAGGTATACATACAGAATAATGTCTCAGAAAGTGGGAATGCTAAATCTAAAATGTGAATGCATTTGTGTATCTGAGATAAATGTCCAAAGCAACTTCTACAGAGATTTATACTATATTGCATTCCTAACAGCAAAGTATAAAAATGGCTGTTAATACTTTAATCTCACCCACTGAGCCTATGATCAAACCTTGGGATGTTTGCTCATCTAATGGATTAAAAAAAAAAAAAAGGTGTCCCCTGTGTTTTTTTTTTTTTTTTTTTTTTTGAGACGGAGTCTCGCTCTGTCGCCCAGGCTGGAGTGCAGTGGCCGGATCTCAGCTCACTGCAAGCTTCACCTCCCGGGTTTACGCCATTGTCCTGCCTCAGCCTCCCGAGTAGCTGGGACTACAGGCGCCCGCCACCTCGCCCGGCTAAGTTTTCATATTTTTTAGTAGAGACGGGGTTTCACCGTGTCAGCCAGGATGGTCTCGATCTCCTGACCTCATGATCCGCCCGTCTCGGCCTCCCGAAGTGCTGGGATTACAGGCTTGAGCCACCGCGCCCGGCCCCCCTGTAGTTTTAATTTGCACTTATCTTATGAATGAGGTTAAATGTGAAATGTCTGTTCTTGTCCTTTACCCATTTTTCTTTCCAGTTACCAGTCATCTTCTTATCAATTTGTAAGTGTACTTTATACATGAAGGAAATGGCCCCTTTTCTATGATCTAAGTTGCAAATAATTTCCCAGTTTGTCTTTCAGTCCTGATTTTACTCTGGTGTATTTTTCCCTTAATTCAGAAATACTTTATCCTTGACTGAAGTGATAAGATTTTATTTTCTTTATGGTATCTGGGTGTCACAAAGGTCAGCCTTTCGAAAAGAGACACAATTTGTAATGAATACACATAGGCAGTGACCACCCCAAAGCCAAAGTCAGCTCACATGTAGCAGAGGATAAGCAGGGCAGTGGGAGGTTGGAACCCAGGCAATGCAACTCAAAGAGGGTTTTGGATTCCTTAAGGCACTTGCGATGCAGCTGGGAAGAGAGAAAGACAGAGCCCTGCGCTAAGTGCCAGCACTGTAACACACGCCGTCAGTGCCACAGCAGTACTGCGAGAGCAGGGGTAGAAGGCACAGTGCTATGCTGGGAAAGGCGCCACCTGTCACTCTGGGGGAACAGTAGGCTTGGATGAGGGCAACAAAAGAGAGGGTGGTTTCCTGTGGAAAGCAGGATTGGCGACACAAAGTCTTTGACTACTGAATATGCATGAGGTGCAGGAGGACTCAGTCAGCCAGGTTCACCATGGCGGAGGCTTCACGGCACAGTGCAGGATGAGGCGAAGGCAAGGCAGAGCTCAAGGCTGGAACACAGTCCTCTGAAAGCAGGCTATAGAGGCTGGCACTACCCATGAACTCTGCTGAACCAACGGGTTCTTAGACAGGAGGGGACATGATAAAAGTAGCAGCATTTAAACAAGGTTATTATGGGGAGTCTATCTGTTTTTCATTGGTTATAAACACTTGTTTAATCTTAAACTATGTTTAATAAACTAATGACAATCTTGCTGAACAAATACCTTGTTTTCAAATGCAAAAATAGGTAAATAACTCCTTCAATAGTTTAAAAGAGAAAAATATTAATATGCCACTTTTTTATAAGGGAGGGACGGTAGAATAAGAATATATCTGATAATAGCTCAAAGGTTCTTAAAACCTAACATGTTTGAAAAAAAAAAAGTCACACTTAACTGTATTTCTTCTTGTCACAATGACACCAAATTTCATAAATATTTTATGAAAAATACAGCAAAAGGGCAGCACTAATAATGTGCACCTCAGTACTGCCAGGGGTGTGCTCCTTCTTCACGTCTTCCTCCCCTTTACAGAGCTTTCCATTTGTATGTGTGAACTTTGAGTAGAAAGAGGCCAGATTAACGATAACTGGTTAGTCCACAGGACTAATATGACAGCCAAGAAACACCGCACTTTGCAGGAGTAACGAAATTTCAACTGTTACATCTTAATAAGATCTTGAAAAATATACCGGATAAATGTAATGAAGGAAAAAAGTTCACTTAACTTACTTTGCAAAACTGAATTCTACATAAACATATGCACCATACACATCGCGTGGCAGGCATTTCAGGTGCATGAACCCACTTACCCGTCATGGTCGGTGACTCTCTTCGCTGCCCTCCATTGTCCTTCCCTTCGTAAACCACCGTAACATCATAAATTGCATCTAAATAATTCTTCATGCAATCAAAAGCAACGTGAGTTGCCTTTATTCGTGGTGTCAGCACATGTTTTAATACTGCAAGGCCTAGAAGAGAAGTCAATTCCGTGTTGTCATTAGTTACAAAACACCTCCACAATAAAATATATTGTTAAACATCTACATTATTTTTAAATTCCCTCAAATAAACACACCAGAATCTATTAATGCCACAACCTCCTATCTTTAGGGCTTTAAGTTTAGAAAGCACTCTCACTTGCCTTTTTCTGTTTAAATCAATATTCATTTGCTATATATTGATCAAATATCTACATGTACAAGTCACCATGCTGGAAGTTTATGGCCTATTGGAAACGCTTCAATCTAGTAAACCCTGGCAAGGGTAAATATTAGTGCCCTCGCTTCTGGCCACTGAACAAAGGTGATAGCAACTTGCCCATGGTGACTCAAGATTTCCTAGAAATACAGTCACACAGCACATGGCCTCCTGTGTCTGGCTTCTTTCACTCAGCATGGATCTGAGGTTCATCTGTGTGACTGCAGGTCTCAGTGCTTCATTCCTTTTTATGGCTGAGTAATTTTCCGTCTTGTGAACAGATCACATTTTGTTGACCTATTCATTGCTTCATGGATGTTTGGGTTGCTTCCAGACTTTGGCTATTATGAATAATGCTGCCATGAACATTCATAGGAACTGCAAATGAAGGCTGCGTGTGAACAAGCTTTTGCATGAACATACGATTTCATTCCTCTTGGCTATATCTGACATATTTTTAAAAGGTTCTTTAGCTGGGGGACTACTGCAATTATCCAGAACAAATTGCATTCATCAGGTTCCTACTAGGATTAAGGATTTTGTTCTCCTCTCCTTCCTATTACCTCCATTTTCCTTGATTAAAATATTTACTGACAATGTAACAGAAAACAGTAGTTCTCAATAAGTGACATGAAAATAGACTACAAAAAACTAGTCTAGATTTTCTACTGGCCTCTCTCCAGGGAAAGTAGCTGAGTAAGGAAGAACAGCTATTACATGGTGGGACTGTCCCACACAAGAGTTTTTAAAATGCAGGGTGGTGTGGGAAAGACAAAGATTCCCACAAGCACATATCTGACTGTAGTCCCCAGGGCAGGGGCAGTTAAACTGATTCACGAACTTGCAACAAAAATCTCAATCACATACCAAGCTGGGAAGCATTTATTTGTCAATTAAACTAGTTAACACTTCCTTCTTTGCTACTGGAGCTCATCCAACTTTATGAAGTCCAAAGTTTCAAAACATCACTCTGTAGTGTTCACTACAACAACTAATTACTAGAATCCAAGTAAGTTAGTAGGGAAATAAAGACAGAAAGGTAGTATTTTTAAAACATAAAGGGAAATGAATTATCATGAAAGTTTAAAAAAAACAGCTTTATGACATGAATCATAGCCATTAATGATATGTAAACAAAACTAAAAAAAAATCTTCTAATGAAGGAATACACTGGGAATAGCTTCAATTATTTCAAACATTTTCTATATCAAATTCTCTGAATCAAATCCAAATCCTACATAGTCCAGGTTTTAGTATCCAACTCTTGAAAAGGAATAGCCAATGAAGATGAAGAAAAACAAGGGGACTGTGGTGGTGACACAGGTGCCCCAGAAGAAAACAGCTCAGGAAGAGCGAAGTGCTCAGCCACATTTGCTGGAAGACACTTGAAAGGCCCAGAACTGAGACATGACTCTCAGGCACAATGGAGGGTCCATGACATCTTGATCGATATTTTCAGTGCAGTGGTAGGAACTGAAGCTCAAAAAGTGGGTTCAGTGAGGTGCCAATATGTGAGGTGAGAAAAAAATAAACCACAGCAAATTCTTTCCTGGATTTATTAACAAATGGTCTATTAATTTCCAACGGTTAGAATAATATGAGAAGCTTTTACTATTAAAACAAATAAAACCTGGCCCTTCTTGGATAACTCAGAAGTCACTTTCCATTTCTAAACCAGAGCTCATAATAAACTCTAGTCCACACGGGGAATTATTTACAATCTCTGACCAAGCGGTCACCAACTCTCAACAGTGATAAAAGTTAAAACAAAAACAATTTTATAGTAATAATATCGAGGCCAATTAGAATTTTGATAGAGAGAAACCCAAATAATGACATATTCTTAATTAACTGCTCTAGCTTGAGCCAACCATATTGAGATCTGACTACTTTCCAGGGAACTACATAAAGGCCTGAGCCCAAACAGAGAAATGTGGCAGCTATTCAGTTACTTCTTCCTGGTCACCATCTAGTGTCTGTTCTGGTACCTGCTTTGCCTTGTTTCCCTCTCCAGAGCTCCTGAATTTCTACTTAATGCTAACGATGGCCTAGCATACCCTTTGACTGAGTTTCTCCCTAAGGGTCATTTGCGGTACTGGTTGAGTATAACTGAAATTCTGCAGTTAGTATTACATTTTGGAAACATTATGAATAAATGAAAATACACTGGACAAAAAAACTTTAATGATCCATGTAGAGAATTTTACATTTATACACAGAATTTAGTCTGCAATGTATTTAATATATATTATCTCACTTGATTCTCAGAAATTAAGTAATTGAGGCTCAGAGAGAGAAAATCTTGCTCAAAGTCACACAGCTAGAAAGACCTTATGATGTCTGGTTCACTATTTTTCTATGCCATAATTAATAAGATACTATTCTGAAACTATAAATCAGTTAAAGATTAATGAGGCAATAAAAAAATTTAAATAGCTACAGGACATGACAGAATGTCTTAAAAGAGATAGAAGATATTCTCAGAATGTAAAAATATTACTCATACTTCAAGGTTTTTTGAAATCACGCATATCTGATTGGTGAAAGCTTCAGGAAAAAGCACACTGGAGAGACGCCAACGTGGAGGTATACAGCACACAACGGTGGGCAGAAGGACTTGTGAACAAAGGTACAGAAGCAGGGACCCGGGAGGCCTCTGGAACACTTGTGCAGAGCAGGAGGGGCTCAGTGTGACAAACACACCAGGTCACACTGCTGTAAGCTTCAGAATAAACACTGATCTGTAGGAGCACAAGGATTGGAGGCCAAAGAACAGACTGAATCTAGGTGCAAAGAATGACAGTTCTAAGTTTCACAAAGAGTTTTGGACATTCAGTCATAAAGCAACAAAGTCCTGAATTAGGAATGAAGCAGTGAAAACTGAAAAGATAAAATGTAATAAAGCGAACACCAAATATATACTGAATCAGCAACTGATTGAACGTGGTCACAGGAGAAAAGGAGAAAAACAATAACTAGGCTTCTGCTCCAGAAGGCATAGACAAGGCCACGCCATAACTAGACGGGGAACGGCCAGGAGGAAGACATGCAGAGCATGCCAGCGTGCACGCACCTGCCATGCAAAGAGAGAAGTGGGAGGGCAGCAGGCAGGGAAAGAAAGAGAATATTGAGCTGGGCGCCGTGGCATGTGTGTGTCTGCAGTCCTAACTACTCAGGAGGACTGCTTTAGCCTGGGAGTTGGGGAGCAGGGGAGAGAAGGAAGGGAGGGAGGGAGGAGAATAAAGAAAGGAAACAGAAAGAAAGAGAGGAGGAGAGAAAGCAAGCAAGCAAGCAAGAGAGAATGAGTGAGGGAAGGAAGAAAGGGAGGGAGGAAGGGAAGGAAAAGAAGGAAGGGAGAGAGAGTGAAAGAAAGAAGGAAGAAAGGGGGAGAGAGACGATGAGTTCAAATTGGGCATACTGAGGCTGAAGTAACAAAACATTCTAGAAGTAGTTGGAAATATGGTCTGTAAAATGGCAAGAATCAACCAAAGCTAAGCATGTGGAAATCATGGGAATGGATAACTGAAGTAATGGCAGTGGCTGAGAATAATAAAGGGCAGAAGATGAAAAGGCAAGAAATACAGACTATGGAAACATCCACATTAAAAAAAAAAAAATTTAAAAATAATAACAGGGAATAGGACAAACCAGGAAATAAAAAAGAGGGGGAAAACCAATGTAATACAAACACCAAGGGAAGAGAATGTTTAAAGGAAGAGGAGGTGATATTTATCTTCATAAAGAAAAATAATACTCCATTGTTTATTTCTACAATAAAGTTAAAATTGTTTTCTGGTTATAAAGTTATAAATAATGCTGAAAGTTAACAAATATGACAACTGACACAAATGATATGATGCTTTGGAGGTCACTGGTAAGTTAGAAGTGGGATACATTTCTGGAGACTGGATGGAGTCAAATACAAGAAAGCAAGGGGCCCAAACTTCTCTTTGCACAGCTACAGACTTAGTTATTTCAGAATGGGAGTATATTTGCAAGCTGGGAGAAATCCCAGCAGAGAAGTAAGGCAGATGACTGACGCAATGATGGAGATAGGGTAGATGGAATCAAGAGCTTAGAAACTGTTGACGCTGCCATGTCTAAGAAGAAAATTTTTCTCCAAAGTTTTCTTCTTAGACATGGCAGCTTCAGCAGTTTCTTCCAAAGAAATCAAGTCAAGAGAGTCCACATTAAGATTTTGAAATCAAAAGGGATACTGGGTACACTGTTTCCAGAGAAACATTACTTTCTGAAGGCAAAAAATCCTTGAATGTGAGGAGAAAAAAAATCCATGAAAACCGTAAGAGTAGTCAAAAGGAGAAAAATAAAAACTGCTCCGCACAGACTTGGCTGGGCTGAAATGAAATGGCCTGGCTTGGCTGCAGAAGGCAGTCAGCATTGATCTTATGATGTTCTCCACTGCTAAGGAAGGGAAAAAACAAACAGGGTTGCCAAGGGCTGAGGAAAGGCAGGGCAGGAACAGAACAGCCCAGCATCGGGATGGGCAGACCCCAGGGCTGGGGCAGACAAGAGCTGCAGAAGGGCCAAGACAAGACAGGTTAGAAATGAGCCAAAAACACAGGTTCAGAGCAAGTGAGGAGAAGGGAGAACCAGAGTCAGCTCCATGGTGTGAGTGACCCAGTGCCATTTCCAGATGAACTTCAAGGTGGTGAAAGCAGAGCATTCAGCCACGCACAGGACTCCACACAAGAGAACAGGACCTCCCCCCAGGAGCCTCCACAAAGGACTGTGGCCCTGCCAACACCTTGACTTCAGCTGAGCGAGACCCTTTCCAGACTTCTCAACTGTAAGAGAAGAAATGTGTGGTGTTTTAAGCCACCAAGTTTGTGGCAATTCCTGAGAGCAGCCATAGGAAGCAAATACCCCTTCTTAAGGGTGAGAGTGCCGTTACCACCCAGAGCTGAGCACTAGCTTTCTTGTTTGCCATGCTGACTTTCAGAAGTTGGCTTCAAAGTATTAATTTAATTTCTACTTTGATTATGAGAAAGAAGAAATACTTGTTCAAGTGTGTGGGTCATTTGTATATCTTGAATTTCTTATTCATGCCCTTTTCCCGTTTTTCTGGTTTATGTCTTTTCTTACTAATTAGGAAGCACTTTTGCAATATTAAGTATATTAATATCCTATATTATAAAACATTATTAGCTTGCTATTTGCCAACTAAATTTGTTCATATGATGTTTGAGACATAAAAATAATTTTTATTCAGTTGTCTACAAAGAAAGAAATTGCTTTGTAGCTTATTCCCTGTGTTCTCATGTTTTCAAAGGACTCTCGAATCTCTATAATCGCCAGTGTTATTCATCCTATGAATAGCATGCAAATTCTAGATATCTGGTTTGCCATTATAGACACACCATTAAATTTCTGTTTTCTATTATGAGAGTTCAAAAAGCTTAAGTATGTCACCTTCGCTAGCTACTATGGTTTTAACCATGGCAGGAAAAAAAAAAAAACACCATAGGGGCTCACTTTAACGGGTTCAGGTGGTAGATTAAAATACATTTAATTCCAAATTCCTTAAAACCACTAGAAAGCCAAATATCTAAAACAACACCAAGGAAAATGAGTTAAAACAAAACCCTTCGTACAGCTGAGAAAAGCTGAAATATTACCGCAGTGCCTGCACTTTTGCAAGACCCCGTATGAACAGCTTCTTCCTTCATGTCTAAGTTTCCTAAAAGAGGTATGCAACTGCTATCAATTTGTTCTTTCTGTGAATAAAACTCAGGCAAAAACACTGAATGATGGAGTTACCAAGACAAGAAATATGAGTGTATGCATGGAAGGATAAATTCTATCTTCAACATGCTGAGTTTGAGACATCCCTTTGGGCCAGTCAAGAGAAGCTCTCTAGTGGACAATTGTACAAATGGGTCTAGAGTTAGGCAGAGAGATATGGAGGGGAGGAAGCTTTTGTGAGTCATCAGCAGTCAAGTAAACAGTGGCTAAGGCCATGGATTTAGAGGAAGACCACCATAAGAAACAAAAAGTGAAATTAATGAAAGACCAAAACCTGACATTGGAAGTAACACATGAAGCAGGGAAAAATGAAGCAGAAAGAGGCGGGAAAGGAGGCTAGGAAGTAATCACCAGAGAGTTGGGAGGATAAAGGAAAACAGCCCCACAGAAGTCTAGGGAGAGAATTTCAGATCAGACCAAAACAAACTGAGGGCAGAGTGAGTACTGAAAACAGTGCTTACAACAAAGGTAGGCTACAGATTCAGAAGACTTTGGCTGTTACGGAAAGGGGGAAAAGTGGGTGCTAGGAAGAGGAAAACATAAATTTGAGAGAGAGGGGTTTTTGTTTTGTTCTGTTTAATAAATGTGAAAAGGGCAACAGAGATAATGGCGTTGCAAAAGAGCAACTGAAATGACAGAACGTGATGTCTACTAGACAGAGGAAGCAGTGAAAGTCAAAAGAGAGCTGACAGATTGAGAGACCAACTGAACCCTCCTATTCTGAACCACTCCTTAATAGGACATGTGTTTAAAAACAAACTGGCATTTTTTAAATGTACTGTTACAAATGATGTCATATTGTAAAAACTTTGTAAAAGTTCCCCCTTATCATTTTTAATTAAACTAAAATTAAATAAAATTAAAAATTCATTTCATGCACTAGTTACATGTTGAATGCTCAAAAACCACATTGGTAGGAGCCAGCACACTGGACAGAACAGATAAAGAACTTTACCATTATTGCAGAACGTTCCATTAGACGACACTGTCCTAGGCCCTGGCGTAATGTCACAAACAAGGTATTTGCTCAGTAAGTGACTATCAACATTTGGAGATCACATACTAAATCACAGTCAAGCTTCAAGGACACCTCTAAGAACATAGCATAGCCACTGTTTTCTCTATACTTCCCAATTTGGTTAAATTGCATAACTTATTGGTGTATCAATTATCCAATTTTCTAAAATATGGATATTAAGAACATTACCATTGTTGGGACATTAACAGCTTCCAAGCACTGTGAGCCAACTTTGTGTAACTTCTCCATTAGAAACTTGACATATTTTCTAACCTAATTCTCACACAGATTTAGATCTACTTATAAGGCATATGTTCTAAGAGATGAAGAAGCAAGCTCAGTAACATTACACAACTTGCAAGGTGCAACCATACAGCTAATAAAAGTCTGAGTTTGGACTCCAACTTACGTCTGTCAACTTACAAAACAGAAGCTCCATTACACATAACCTACACTGTAGAAAAAGCTTCCATCTACATAATCATGTTCTTAGATAGATTTTAAATAAATCCATGGCACAAGAATATGTATTGTAACAAGCACTTGAACTCAATTTCTCAGATATATGTAATAATAGCATGCAAGTGAATTAAGGAGAAGAAACTTCATTTCCTAAGAGATAATATGTACATTAATTCAAGGAATGAATACATTCATTCTTTCAATTGTAAAACAAAAGTATCTTTTCCAGGAAGAAAAACTAAAAATGTTATCTTATTTGTTCAAACACTGTCAAATTTTTACTTACCACGTTGGGCAGCAAATGCCTGACTAGCTGAAAGGACTTTTGTTTGCTCTGGATTATACCTTGTACCTTCTGGAAAAATCACAAGATACATCTGTGGGACATAGAGCAAATTTGGTTTATTTGGTGTGAGCTTTGTTGTTGTTATTGTTGTTAACTTAAAAAGCTAAACCTACTAATGCTAAGAGAGTATTTCCTACAGTAGGGGAAAATGTATATTTATTTACACGTGACCTTCATTTCAGGCAGAGCAAACAAAATTTAACAATTCAATTAAGTCTGAACATAAAGTGAAATATATTTTAAATGCAGTGCTACATTCATTGGTAGGTCTTGGTAGGTCAGCCATGAAGAATCTAACATTTCTAATTACACGCTAATAATTCACTAACTAAAAATAGGCCATGAAATGCTGACTCATACAAAGCCTCAATGACTTTTTTCCCTTTGAGATCCTGTAAAATGTCATTTTTAGAAATATAAATTTTAGAAATCAGTATCCTTAAGTACCAACACTAAAAAGTACCTCATCTGAGGAAAATCATACACTAAATTCCCACCATGTAAAAGGTTCGAAATGTTCATTCAAAAGCTTCACACGAAATTCCTATTTTTACATAGCTCCTTTAGTGTATTTCAAATTTTATTTATAAGTAACCTCATTTGTTATATAAACTGAAACTAAAATAATATAAAGAAGAATATCAAGCTGGATGTTTAATAAGTAATCAATTAGTCTAAGTTTTTACACTTATCTGCTTAGGAAAGTAAAAACAGAAACATTAAAATTATACAGCAAAAACTCCTAACTTGAGAAACGAGTTACAAAATCTACACTAATAACTTTGATTGACAGCCGAAAGACAAAAATAAGATATGCATACTAAATCTTTTCAGATACAAACAGAATACAGAAAACAAGATAGGAGCTCATGGGAGAAAACTATGTTCATTGGATCCATTCTTGCCAGATCTCAGACGGTACTCAGACAATACTGTCTACCTCTGTACATCTGGTACAGAAGCCTTCCTTCATCCGGATGGTCTCTGATGATAAAGCTCCTACTGAAAAACCTACGTGGGACTGAGTTTTTTCTTTAGATACTGGTATAATGGTATCTGAAAATGTTGTACTTTCAGCTTCCATGCAAATATGCAAGCTTTTTGTTCATTCATGTAATAGTCTCAGCACCCACGCCGGACTTAGAAATTAACAGATACTATATGTATCTTTAATAATGAAGATTGATCAGATCTGTTAAGAAAATGCAGAAAAATGGGTAAAATTTGGAAAAAAAATACAAGATTCCTTATTATATTCCAGTAACTAGAAGGAAAAACAGGAAGACAAACATTAAAGCTAGTTCTAAAAACCACACATTCATTTTCATGAAAATGTATTTTGTATCAGTAAGTTTTATATTCAAAGCCATGAAAGCAACTACTGTGGGCTATCAGCTTTTAACTCAATCATTTATAAATAAAATGATTATTTCAAAGGTTAATAACTCATGTGGTATCATTTGCTGTGTCTTGATGTTTAATTTAAAAGAACATTGACAAACAAAAAGAAAGCGTGAATTCATTCAGAGCTAATTCGGAAACTATTTCTTATAAACTTATTATGTTCCAGAAACTGCACACAAGATAACAACACACATGGTCCTTCCCTTCATGGACAAGTAAGGAAAAGAAATACATTAAACAGACTAATAAAAACATGTAGGTACATATCATGATATGATTGCAAAGAAAAAGAACAAGGTGTGATGAAGGAAAATGATGAGAAGAAATTTAGGAAGGGCAATGGGGCTAGGACCTAAAGAATGGGTAAAAGAATGAATGCTTTTCCCTAAAGATGAGGAATAGGGAAAGGATTTCCCTCACACCAGTTCTATTCAACGCTGTACTAGGAGGTCTAGCCAGAAAATTTGGCAAGAAAAAGAAATAAAAGCCATCAAGACTAAAAAGGACAAAGTAAAACGGTTATTTCTATAACAATGACGTGATTGTTTATGTAGGAAATCCTAAGGAATATCTTTTTTAAGTTGCCAGATAATGATTAAGTTTAGCAAGGTTGGTATATTAAAAAATTATATGCCTAGGTCAACGATCAAAAACTTGAAAATTTTTTATATGTCTTCTACAATAGCATCAAAAACTAAAATTCTTAGGGATATATCTGGCAACAGATGTGCAAATCTGTACATTAAACTACAAAACACACTGAGATAAATAAAGAAATAAGTAAACAAATGCAGGTTATGTTCATGAACCCAAAGATTCAGTCCTGTTATATCAATTCTTCCCAAATTCATCTATACCTTCGATACAATCAAAATGAAAAGCCCACAAACTTTGGGTAGAAACTGTCAAGCTAATTCTGTAATTCATATAGAAATGCAAATAACCTAAAATAGCCCAAACAACTTTGAAAAGAACAAATTTAGAAGACAACTACAGTATTTAAAAATTTATTACAAAGCAAGCATTATTAAGACAGTATGGTATTGGCATAAGGATACACATATAGATCAACATAACAGAACAAATAGTCCACTGATCTAGGGATAACAGACCCATCTATATTCAGTCTACTTATTTCAAACATTGGGGGAAAATAATCTTTTCTATAGTGACGGTTATCTATATTTAAAAAATATAAACTTTGACCTTATACCATATAAAAATATTAATTAGAAATAAATCCTAGAACTAAATGTAAAAGCAAAACTCTAAAATTTCCAGAAGAAAATAAAGGAGAAAATCTTAGCAACCTGGAGTTTGGCAAGGACTTCTTAAATAGGATATAAAAAGTGGAAATTATGAGAGAAAAAAAAATCTATAAATTAAGCTTAAAAGTATGTTCTTCAAAAGATACATATAAATTTATAAAAATAAAAAAATACGTTCTCAAAAAAGATACTATTTATAAATAGGAAAAAGCAAGTAACAGATGCAAAAACCTTGTACAGGAACATTCTTAGGAGCGACAGGCTCACCTCATTTTATCATGCTTCGCTTTACTGAGCTTCACAGAAATTGCATTTTTTCCCGTTGACGGTTTATGACAACCTTGCATCGAGGAAGTCTACTGGTGCCATTTTTCCAACAGTGTGTGCTCACCGCACATCTCTGTGGCATATTTTAGTAATTCTCACAATATTTCATATTATTATATCTGTTATTGTGATCTGTGATCTCTGATGTTACTATTGTAATTGTTTGGGGGTGGCATGAATTGCACCCATATAAGATGACAAATTTAATTGATACATGTCGTGTGTGTTCTCACTGCTCCACTGATGGCCCGTTCCCCTGTCTCTCTTTCTCTCTGCCGCCCCTTGGGCTTCCCTATTCCCTGAGATACAACAACATTGAAATTAGGCCAATTAATAACCCTATAATGGCCACTAAGCGTTTCAGTGAAAGGAAGAGTCGCATGTCTCTCATTTTACATCAATAGCTGGAAACGGCTTAGTAAGGAAGCTATGTTGAAAGCCAAGGCGGGCCAAAAGCTAGGCCCTTTGCACCAAACAGCCAAGTTGTGGATGCAAAGAAAAAGTTCTTAAAGAGAATTAAAAGTGCTACTTCATTGAACACAAGAATGATTAGAAAGCAAAACAGCCTTATTGCTGAAAACAAGAAAGTTTGAGTGCTCTAGATAAAACATCAAACAGCCACAACATTCCCTTAAGGCAAATCCTAATCCAGAGCAAGGCCCTAACTCCGTTTAATTCTCTAAAGGCTGAGAGAGGTAAGGAAGTGACAGAAAAAAAGTCAGAAGCTAGCAGAGGTTGGTTTGTGAGGTTTAAGGAAGGAAGTCATCTCTTCATAACATAAAATTGAAGTGGCAAGTACTGATGTATAAGCTATAGCAAGTTATCCAGAAAATCTACCTGAAATAAAATAAAGATTAAACAGAAGATCTGGGATTTAAACATGAATCTAATTTCAAAACCAATACTCTTATCCACCAGGCTGCCTCTTATCTGAAAAGGACCTTAAGTGAAAGCTGGAAGAAAAACTGTAAGTCTCCATATTTGTGCCGTAAGTTTTACTAGCTCATATTCTAACAAAATGACTTCCATTAGTTATTTTTATCACAAGTATGCTTCATTTGCATCCACAACCAATAAGTACCTTCATAAAATACTGCATTGTCCCAGCAATAATTATGGAGATGTATTTCTTCACAATTTATAATACAAATATAATTTTTGAAACAAAATTCTGCATTTCTTAAATACTAATACCGAATAAGAGCTGATATAATCATGAAATAGATTCACTAGAACTATTAAGCCACATGAAAACTGGCTTAACATATTCTACCACGTCACTTACTTAATCCACCTTCAGAAAGAAAAGAATCATCAAGAACCTGAGTCAGATGTACCTGCTCTCACACGGCGTACAGATTAAGAAATGAAACAACCATCCAGACTCTTAGAAACCCCGCCTGAGACAGTGACCTTACAGTGACAGCTGCTCAGCACTGCCTCTTGAACCTGCCAGTCTGTTATCCATACTGCACTAGGAACATAAAAGCCTGGAATTTTGCCCACAAAAAACAGGAAGGCTATTCTGGTAGCCCATAACAGACTAGGTTATTTGAACCAAGCTTCCTACTGAAAACAACTTAAAAAGCTGGATATAACATTATTTTAAAAGTACCCAAGAGTTGGCAAGATGTTAAGACCGAAATTAAGCAAACACAGTAAAGCAGAAGTAAGCATAAAACAGAACTTTGTTTTACAAGACTCAGAAGATGAGGGGAACAGAAACCAAAGCCCACAGACCTTCCAATATAAATGTGAAGAGAGAATCAGAAGGAAACACCAAAGGCTCCACTTTCAGGGTGAAAGTAAATGAGAGGTGAGCAGGTCTCCTGTGCATCTACAACCCTGGTCGCACTGCCTGAATGGCTCAGTTCACCTTCAACTCAGAATTTGGTTTGGGTGGGGCCCACACTAGAGGAGCCTGAAGCGGCCCAGCTAAAACAGGCAGAAATGTTCTCTGGAGAAAGACACTCCCACCTGAGGCTTCAACTGATTTCCACAAATAACTTACCAAATACAGCCAGAAGCAAAGGAAGATAACAGAGCAAACAAGGAAAGAAAGTACTATGAGCAAGAACCAGCAAAAAACAACAGACTCAGACAGGACTTTAGGCACTGAAATAACCCAACACATCTACACACCTTTTAAATTATGCCTTTAACACTTAAAGAAACAAAGACAAGCTTGAAGATTAAAACCAAAATAACAGATTTGACAAAAACCATATAGCACTTCATATAACGAAAAACAATAAATTTAAAACACTGAAGGTGAATAGATTTGTATCTATTCTGGATTGTATTTTAGAACAGAAAAAGGACATTAGTGGAAAACCCGGTAAAGTCTGAATAAAAATCTGTAGTACAATTAACAGTGTGGTACCAACGTTTATTTCTTAGTTTTGACAAATATATACCATGTTATGTAAGATGTCAACATTAGATGTTAAAGCTAGATGAAGAAGGCTGGGCGTGGTGGCTCAAGCCTGTAATCCCAGCACTGTGGAAGGCTGAGGCTGGTAGATCACGAGGTCAGGAGTCCGAGACCAGCCTGGCCAACATGGTGAAGTCCTGTCTCTACTAAAAATACAAAATTTAGCCGGGTATCGTCGCACATGCCTGTAATCCCAGCTACTCAGAAGGCTCAGACAGGAGAATTGCTTGAACCCAGGAGGCAGAGGTTGCAGTGAGCCAAGATCGTGCCACTGCTCTCCAGCCTGGGTGACAGACCGAGACTCCAACTCAAAAAAAAAAAAAAAAAAAAAAGCTAGATAAAGAATAAATAAATGGGAACACTCTGTTCTTTCTGACGTTTCTGCAAATCTAACATTGTTCCAAGTTTTGAAATTTATTAACGAAAAATGAGAGGAGGCTTCCATGAAGTATGTAGAATGCTGAAGGAATACTACTCCCAACCCTACAGCAACAACAACACTGACAAACTGTAGATTCATGACTTTTCTCAGATCCTTCAGAGAGCCGAAAGGTTGCAAGGCAACCAATTAATCCAAAAGTCTAAGGAAAGACAGAAAACTCAAAGGAGAAACAAGATGCAAGTGCTTGTTTACTTGGGGGCCAATGCTAACATTTAGCTAAAAATTTTAACAATTGTGTAGAAAGCCAAGCATAAGTTGGTGCAACAGATGAACCCCTGGGCTACAGACACAAGGAGAATGCAGCACAATTTACAGGCTCGACCCACAGACCTCCTGTGTACTCACAAGATAAAGAAAAAGGAAAACACACTGGGGTCAGGGAAGACTGGATGTAGGCTTGCGGGATGGAACAGCAGCCCTGTGGGAAAGGCTCAGGGCCCAGCCCACATCCTTCTCTGTACGTTTCCTATGGAACAGCAGCCGGAAACTGATGAACAGGGGCAACAAAACCCTGCTATCCATGGGACACGGATGAATACTCGATGAGGCTGGGCGAAGAGAACAGGGAAAAACTCTTAGTGAAGGCAGGAATACATCCTGGGCAAGACTTACAGACAGAAGCAAGGCAGAAGCAGAGAAGGCTCCACCCCTGAGATTCTCCCTAAGAATAAAGACACTTCCCTTCCTTCTCCTTCTACCACCGAACTAGCGAGAGTTCAGTAACAAGTATCAGAGAAGTACAGTGGGGGGAAAGGCACAAAGAGGAGAGCCACTCCGAGGTGCCATGTGAAAATGCTGAGTGTGAAACAGACACTGAGGAAAAGCTCTATCGGGAGGACGTCCCCAGCCTACACACAAAGTAATGCAGCTATAGAAACCTGAAGCTGTGAGAAAAAGCACATGAGCAAAACCCAAATCCAGTGCACCTCCTGAGTGGACTGACTCAACTCCTCAACACCAAAGGCTGAGCAGAAAGACAAGTCTATCCATTTCCAGGTATCAAGACACCTTGCCTCCATTTCTACTGTCTTACAAAAAAGCCCTAGCATTCGGCAGAATCTTAGGAAGTGTGACAAAGGCAAGATAAAGCACAATCTGAAGAGACAAAGCAATCAAAATTTCCAGACTCAGACATGGCCCAGATGTTGGAATTATCAAGCAGGGAATTTAAGAGAACCGCAAATATAATAAAATGATAAAGGTTCAAGTGGAAAAAGTGATTAAGCTTTATGATCAGACAGATATTCTAGCACAGAGATGGAAACTATGAAACAGGGTCAAAGGGAAATATGAGGAATGAAACACGCAGTAGCAGAGATGAAGAGTGCCTTCAACTGGCTCACCAGTAGACTTAACACAGCCAAAGGAAGAATCTGTGAACTCAAAGATGGGTCAACAGAAATCATCCAAACTGTAACAAAAAAAGAAAAAAGGGAAGGGGGTGTAAAAAAAAATTTTTTAAAACAATGAATAATGCATCTAAGAACTAAAGAACAGTGACAAATGAGCCAACACAAACATAACTGGAGAAGAAAGACTGCAGTAGGAATAATATTTAAAGAAATAAGAGTAAAGAAATTTCCAAAATTAATAACAGACACCAAATCATAGATCCAAGCTCAGAGGACCAATCCAGGTAAAATTTTTTAAATGACACTCAGATATATGATACTTAAACTGCTGCAAACCAAAAACAAGAAGAAACTCATGAAGGCAGCTGGAGAAACAGACACATGACAAGTGTACAGAGCTGATTTTTTCAGCCCTCGTGCCACTGACAGCTATATTCGTAGGGGCAAAAAAGCAAGGGACCACTGTGCATAGAATGCCAACATCACCCAACAGGCAGCTATCTTCATTTGCTCCATATATACAATGCCCACAGCAGGACACAGAAGAAACTCCACAGCAGTCATCCATGGCTGGGGTGACTGGACAGCTGGGAGAGAAGTGGGATGGACACTTTAAGGTATAAATTCGTGATTTTTAAATTTTAATTTTTTTTGTAAAAAGTCGATAAACCGTATTACCAACTTATTCTGTCTTTTGGAGACCTACATACAATGACCACAATTCTGCCCAAATTCACCACACTGTTTCAGACTAAACAGACCCTTTGAAAACACCAAGCTTGGTTCTCAAGGGTGAGCTATAACAGGATAAAGGGTCACTGTTCATCTCATTCCATTCTGCTTCTGTCACCCCACACATGCCCAGAACAGGATGCAATGTCCTAATACAAAAACACCTAGAAGAGGCATGTGAATAAACAATGCTCACACCGGGCACTTTACCAGTTGACTGTGAAGAACAAACACCTAGAAGAGGCATGTGAATAAACAATGCTTGCACCGGGCACTTTACCAGCTGACCGTGAAGAACTCTTCCTTTACCATGAGCTCCAGCTGCTGCCCAGGACCCCTAGTGAGGGGAGGGCAACAGGAGAGGAGGGAAGACAGAGGGAGGGAGCCAGAAAAGAAGAGGAAGGCCTGTGCACGCGAGCTAAGCTTCTGAGCACATGTCATGCTGTCATGCACGGAAAGAGAAAGCCCAAGTAGTCCTGGTAAGATGCTTTGTCTCAGGAGGGAACCAGGGGAAAAGCCACTGGCAGCAATCAGCATTCTACACATAGCAGATTGAACTCTCCCCACTTTTGTGGAATAAAGTTTTATAAAATATTATTTCCACTGAATGATTTGACATTTGTATAGAGATTCATCCTTTTTTGGTTTTTCTGTATATGTAAGACATTCCAAATTTCCACTAACAGAAAACAGTTGCTGCTTCTAAACCTAAATCTGATAGTAAAGAAGACAAGAAGTAAGATGAGCTCTTAAAGTAGCTTAAATGTCAGGTTATAATGCAGTTAGTTCTATTTATAGACTCTGAAAGACACCAAATGCTCTTTTTATTCCTCTTTAAGGTCCACTGACCAGCAAAGGACCTAGTTGTTTACAACAATCTTTCTGATGGCTGAAAAACCTGCTTACCTGTACTTAGAGGGTTTCTGTTACTTCAGTGTAACTCTGAATTAGTAATTACACATGGGAAAATATATTTTCAAAACAATTCTTAGATTTTAATTTAATTCTTAAATTTAGAAACTGAGAGCTGGTAAGAAAAATAAAACTGGGTAGGTTCTTACTGGAGTTCCTGCGTTCACATAGCTCTGCAACTTGTTTCGCATCTCTTTCTCATTAAATTTGGCACTTCGCTTTACATAGATTCCTCCATGCTGCCACAATAAAATTGGGAGAAAGAAGTTTTACTTTTAAAATAATGATTGGCCAGAGTCATCAAAAAGGCAACTTTTCTTTCAAAAAGTACAGAATATAAACTACATTTCAGAATTTAATCTATATTTAATGTCTTCAAATATTAGCTTCTACAGAATATTTAGCTGAAAAATTACCTTGTCTCAATGTAACTCAAAAAAACTGCATGTGACACTGTATTGGAAAATACATGAACTTTAGTTTTGTTGGCAGTTAAAATGAAAATGCTTTCTTTCTTAAATATACGTTTTTTAAATTAAAAAAACCTGATCAATCAGATGGATTTAACTCCCAATTCTTCCATCCACTTATTACGGAGTCACTAAAAAGCGTCCTTAAAATGTCAATACTCACGATCTTTAGGGATTTTAAAAAATCAATCCTGCTACAGATATTTCTGTGGCATTGTTATGGAAAGAACTGTGTTCCCCCAAGTCAGTCTACTAAAGCCCTAATAGTTCCCACTGTGACTGTATTCAGAGAGAGGGACTTAGAGGTGGTAATTAAGGTTAAAAAGGGGCCTCAGAGTGGGACCTTACAAGTCTCTGTAGAAGGATTAGTCATCCAGTGTGATTAGTCCTTCTAAGAAGAGGAAGCAATGCCAGGGGTGCTTGGGCACAGGGAAAAAAACCACATGAAGACACAGGAAGAAGGCTGCTGTCTGCAAGCCAGGGAGAGAGACCTTGGGAGAAACTAACCCTGTCAACACCTTGATCTTGGATGTCTAGCCTCCAGAACTGGAGAAAATAAGTTTTATATATACAGCTTTTTTTTTTTTAATATCATACAGATCACTAATTACTGTTATCAATAGTTTAATGTAATTGCGTATCAAATTCTATGCCTTTAAATTTCCTATTTGTTTGATCTTTGTACATTTGCATTTTTGCTCTTTCATTTTACTGCAGCTGGTCCTTCATATCCATGTGTTCCACATCTGCAGATTCAACAAATCACAGATCAAAAATATGTGAATAAAAATAAAAAATAATACAATTAAAATAATACAAATAAAAATAAAGTATAACAACCGTTTACATGGCATTTATAATGTATTAGATATTATAAGTAATCTAGAGATGATTTAAAGTAGTGCACAGGTTATATGCAAATACTATCCCATTCTATATAAGGGTCTTGAGCATTGTATTTTAGATTTTGGTATCTGTGGTGGTCCTAAAACCAATCCCCACAGATGCTGAAGGAAAACTGTATATGGATAATCAGACAGGTATATAAGTACACACCACTAAAAATACCAAACCAAATTACTTCAATTGAGAATAAACTATTAAACCCATTTTAAAAACTATACATTTACATGAAATACATGTTAAATTTTAAAATATAACATTTTTATAAGGTTGGGTATGGCAGTTTGAACTATAATCTCAGCATTTGGGGAGGCTGAGGCAGGCAGATTGCTTGAGTCCAAGACCAGCCTGGGCAACACGGCGAGACCCCATCTCTACAAAAAATACAAATTCAGCCAGGCATGGTGGTGGGTACCCACAGTCCCAACTACTTGAGGCTGAGGCAGGAGGTTCACTTGAGCCCCACAGGTCAAGGCTGCAGTGAGCTGTGTTCACAACACTGCACTCAGCCTGAGCAACAAAGTGCGACCGTCTCAAAACGAAACAAAACAAAATTTATAAACTACATATATATAGAGAAAAGCATGGAAACAAATTACCTGAGCAAAATAAAACCCATACAATGGGAGCCACTTTAATCCTTCTTTCAGTACATAGCGCACATGTCCTAGCGCATTCTGCCTGATGGCCAAGATGTCAGCAACAATCCAGTCAACTGCAGAGACAGGACCCAGTTAGTGCATACATGAACCTCTTCACAAGTTGTACTAGGAATGTGCTTCAAAAGTACTGTGATTAGGATGTTTAAAATTTTTTAAAATCAATCTGAGATATTTAAAAAATATACATTTTCTGTTTTTAGAGATTTTTTTGCATTTCTTGAAAGGCTTTTTATTTCAAAGATAAAACACAGTCACAAAATACCTAAGTAATCCAACAGCAGCATGTATATGGAATAAAATGAGCTTCTCTAAATCCTAAAGCCTAGAAAACAAAGATTTTTTTTTAACGAGAAAGTGGAAATTATAAACAAAAAATGGCCAAATGAAACTATGAATTGCAACTAAATATTCTGTGTGTGTATATGTATGTTCAGCAAAAGGCAAAGACAGTTTATCTTTTACTAATGAGTTTTTAGGACTTGGTACTAGTTTAGGACAGCAATCAAACAAAGGTCTCACATGCCTTACAATAGTGCTGGGTAGATACATGCGTTCTTTACGTAACCAAGAAAAACGATCCCAGGCTGCTAATAATTACAGTTAAATAAATATGTTATTAACAAAGGGTTGCAAAAACAAGGGTAAGATGGTATGAGTTGATAACAGCAGCAACAAAAAACTTCCTAGAAGTTGTTAGTTGAGCTTTCAAAAAGAAAAAATTCCCAACACAGAGAGTGGCCCTTGCCAATAAAACAAACAGGAAGCGGCAATGTGGGTGCAGAAGATGGGAAACAGAGGACACGGTTTAAAGAGGAAATGAAGTGAAATTAAGAAGACAAGTGATAAAGGTCTTAAGAACCACAGAAACTTAGATTTGAAAGTAAATGGCTACAAACTATTTCTTGATGAGAAAGAAAACATATAAGAATGAAATGTAAGGGAGACTTCTCTAGTTAATACACACATGAGCTCAATTGATACTCGAAAAGAAAATTGTTAAGAATCTGTGAAAACAACAGTTCCAGCATCACCATGTCCTCAGGCCACAAAATGAGAACAAAAGGAGTGAGTCAGAGGAAGGAAATGTTTAAAAAAAAAAAAAATCTGTAGAAAATAAAAGCTGAGGATTTAAAGGAATTACAATAAAGTTTTAGCCAAAGAGGAGAGTCTTCCACAGATTACAGGATGGTTGGCTCTCAGCTATGTGAAATCCGTTAGACAATGAACCATACTAGTCAGAATATCCCAAAGAAGATTTAGCCATTTTAATACTAAAAATTAACCCAGAAAAATGTCTTAGCAATTATTATACATCTCTTTTTAATCAGGGATTATCATTCACAAGTTAACTTTTTCTTGATGACTGAAGACTTACAATTATTATATATATGAAACTTTTGTTATGGCTTCCTAAAAGTAGAATGTTGCTTGCAAAGATGCTCCCCTACAGTGTATGATCCCAGAGACAGACACCACCTGTGTTATTGGGTTGAGATATCTACACTATTGGGCTATCAATGATCACGTTTCCCTAAAGTATATAATTTCCTGTTGAAGCCCTCTCCCTAGCCCCTTCTAATTTAGATCAAACAAATAATAACTGATAAACATATTTCCTTCTAGTCATGTCTTAGAAACCATATAATCAATCCTGTTATACCTGTACCAAATGCAAAAGTAAGCAGTCAATAAATTGACTAAATTGAGAACTAATTCTGTATGGTTCTGTACGGTTCCCAGGCTAAAGCACATCTTGGAAATATAGTTGGGGTACAAAGTCAAAAACCAGGTTTAGCATCTTTTCCTGCAACAATTATTTTTTCTTAATTTGGAAGAATTTTAAAAATGGATTTTATTTTAAAATAAACGGGTTTATGGTTATATTATGGCCTCAGATGCCCCTCCCAAGAACTTTTAAGAGAAAGTATAAGATTTTCAAGGTACGTCATGTTCATAATAAGCTGCCCTGGGCTATGCCCTTAAACTTGAAAATTTTAGTGGAAACATTTAACAACTAGCTTAAGTAGTCAAAATATACAAGCTTTGCGCCACCAGTATTTCCTACTGAATCATCTTTATTTCTTGTTTATTCTCAGCTATGTTTCAGATAGGACACCAGATTACAGATAGTTTCTGACTATCTCAGTTACAGTTGAGATTATATTACTTTGACAATAACTATTCATATTTTGTGTTCTGGCATAATTTAACTAAGATAGCAATAAATTTGGCTATGTGAGACTCTTCCATGGCGATCAACCCAAAGCAGTGTCATTGTTCCCATTAACTTGGAGGAGAGGAGTAGAAGGCAGTGAGAGGCAGCAAGTCTAATTTCCTCATCCCTATCGTCATGAAAGAGCAGTTCCTAATTCATGAGGGCCCTGTGTAGTCTTAAGAGATACTGCATGTGCAGCGCTTCCCTACCATGGATCCAGTGTTATGCTAATGGTGAGCTATGACTGGCATCACAACCACTTTTAAATGCCATCTATGAGCCAGGTACTCTACCAGGATTAGGAGATAGCCTCTGTAAAGGGCCTAAAGGAGCTAGCACTCACACCTTACCAATAAGGCTCTGAGAGATAAGTAATTTGCCCACTGACACACAGCCTGTTGCAGAACAGCATTTCTGCAATGTCAAACAGGAACCTGGGTCTCTCTGACTCCAAAGTCCGTGCCTTTTTATAATATTCTACTCACCACGCACGCTGTTCAATAAGAAAATTGACGCTTAAACCAAGAAAAGGGAACATTTCATGAGAATAAAAAGGCAAATAGTAGGCGGGGAGCAGTGGCTCACGCCTGTAATCCCTGAACTTTGGGAAGCCAAGGCAGGCAGATCACCTGAGGTCAGGAGTTCAAGACCAGCCTGACCAACATGGTGAGACCCCATCTCTACTGAAAATACAAAATTAGCCAGGTGTGGTGGTGCATGCCTGTAATCCTAGCTACTCGGCAGGCTAAGGCAGGAGAACGGCTTGAACCCAGGAGGCGAAGGTTGCAGTGAGCCGAGATCGCACCATTGTACTCCAGCCTGGGCAACAAGAGCGAAACTCTGTCTCAAAAAAAAAAAAAAAAAAGAAAAAGAAAAAATTGGCAAATAGTATCAAACGTAGATTGTTGAAGGATAAGGGGAAGGAATAACAGTCACTGTATCCTGCTGACTCCAGAGAGAAATGAGTTAACAGAGACAGAGACAGAATGTAGAGACAAGGATGTGTCAAGTGAAAACAAGGGAAGAGAGAGACTAATTTAAATGTTAATTCTTTTGAGTATCAGGCCAGGAAACTCATTTATTCTGGCAAGCTTGGCAGAAGACAAACAAGAAAGTCTAAGCAGAACAGCAGTCTTTGAAATGTTCTCTCTGCTAATTACATTTTCAGAGATACTCCACTGTGATTCCTAACATCTCAGAAGGGTTTTACAAGGGTACCTAAACACGATCGGACAATGAACCATGTCTATGGCTAGGCTTTAGGGGTCTCTGAAACCCTAAAACTACATACACATTTTTATATGCACATTTTTTTCTAGGAAAAGGCTCTGTCATATACGGACTAAAGCCTGTAATTCTAAAGAAATTTAAAATCACTCACCTAGTATTTTCCCAAGTTATCAAATTTTAAAAGGAAGGCTTTCAAAAAGCAGCCTTCTCAAATCCTGCTGGGATCAGGATCTGGTGCCAGAGCAGTGATACAAAGTCACAGGCACTTGGAGCTAGGGTGAAGGGAAGGGGAAGTGGTTCTCTAAACTGATAAATGAAATTCAGGTCAGTGTGGTCTGAGGATGAAGATTATCCTTCCCATAGTACCTCTGGTCCCAAATACAACTAGAATTGTTTTCTGTTTTTGTTTTTTTAATCTGTTTTTTCATAGATGTTTTCTAGAAGTCCTCAATCTGAAGGAATATATATAATATATATAAAAGCCAATATGTAGTAAGCATACAAATTAACAGTAGTAGTTATCATTATTATCACTATCAGCAACACTTCCAGAAATGTTCAGAGAACTTACTCCACGAGTCACTACTAGAGAGCTCTGTTAATCGAGTGGAGTTTATACTGAAACCTGGACAAAGAAAAGCTGGCAGGGAAACTGAGGAAGGAATTTTAAGAGAATCCTGTCAAACAGAAAGACAACTCTACACGAAATTAACACTAGATCAATATAAAGGAAATGTAGGAAAATCAAAGCTATCAAGAGCCACTCCCTGTACTGGGCCCACGGATCCCTTTTATTTGATATTTGAAACCTGGTAGAAACATCCGTCAGCGGCAGGACAGGAACAGCAGAATGGTGTTAGAAGTAAAACGGCCAATATGTCGGCACAGATCAGAGTTCTCAGCAGCACTGACCATTGGTTGACTGTTTTGCTATTTTTGCCGAGAGTGAAATGTAATTAGATAAAACAGTCTGAACCAGTCACATAATAAAGTTGGGGAAAATACACAGATACATCAAAATTCCTATCAACCCCTTGTAGCTTCAACTCTTGTCCTATAAATCTGAATGTAATCATTACTTCACTAAATTGAGAAAAATGCACTTTAACTTTTTATACTTTCTATACCTCATCTATGGTATAAGTAGTAATAAAAACCACAAAATCATGAAGAGACAGCTGACAGAAAGAAAATTTAAAAAAAGTCACAGGCATAAGTGATTTCCCTTAAGAGTACTATATTGATCAGGTTGTTTTTAGCTTAAGAGTACTATATTGATCAGGCTGTTTTTAGTTTTGAGCTTCTAGGTATAACATTTTTTAAAGCAATAAAAATGGAATTTAGGAAGTATGCACCAAAAGTAGCTAGCTACAGGTTTGAAAACATAAGAAGTGGGATTTCTTGGAGGGCTGAATTATTTGGAGAATTAAAAAGTACCTTACCCAATGACAATTTCCTGATCCTGCTACTGTGCTACAATTGTATTAAGATGTCACCATTGGGAAAATATTGCTGAAAGGGTCATAGGACTACAATGTACTGTTTTGCAAATTCTTGGGACTCTAGAATTACTTAAAAATGCAAAGGTTTTTAGAAGTATCTTAACCTAAAGTATATACTGCACTATTTTGAAGACCAGTCCTCTGCAATTCCTCTGATGGAACAGTAGCAAACTAGAATTAAACCAAACCCATTTGAAGAAGGAAAGGAAGTGCAGACATTAGAAATGACTAGCATAGTAAGGAAATGAGTACTCACATACCAATACAGCCTTTCTGCAGCTTAGCAATCAAAAATGTAAAATGTATATCTACACTTCCACCCAAGGCTACTTCTAGAAACATCACTTACAAAAAGAATGAATACACTACACAAAGGAAAAACAAACCAAGCAAGTAAGAAAATAGCTTACTTACATCCAACAGAGGGAGAAGGTAAATTTAGGAAAATTCATAGCTTTCAAGTTTCTGACTTTCCAAAAAGTAAAATCACAAAAATACAAGAACAGGTGTAATATCTGCACAGAAAATCGATGTTTTAAAAAACCCACTTCATTTAAATATAAGAATGGTATTTTGAATGCCCATGTGCCATCTGTAGAAAAACCTATGTTTCATGCAAATGAAATACAAACCTGTGCTTTGATGATTTGCTAAATATATTATATTTTCTTTATTTTTTGGCAAATCTCCATATAGCAATATCTAAAAAATAAAACAAAAAAAAACACATTACTTTGATATTTTAAAACATCTGTAATATACTGTAATATACAAAGGAAGACAATGTGAAGAAACTGATGAATGATGCTGTGAATATTTCCATCCATGATTAACAAAAATTAGATTCCTCACAGGAGCCTCAGAGATCAAAACTGCTCATGTCCACAAAGCAGTTATGTATAGGACAGGTTAATGGTCATAAATTAAAATAGAATAATCAATATCCTCATGAGAAAAATATAACAAGCACTTATTGATTGCTAACAATATATAAAACACTGTTCATAACATAAATCTTCCTTCAAAGAGCCTACAATCAATCTAGTAAGAGACAGACATGTCCACAGGAACTGTAATGAGGCATAATGCTAATACTATGAAAATATGGTACTTTTTTATGTTTAAAATCTGTTTTTTCTTTTTTCAGGAAACTAGAACGCTACACAACCTTTTTTAATTTTAAAGAACTGTAAACTGCAGAGCAGGAGGATCATTAGGTGGGATTTTGGCAGATGAGAGGAAGGAAAACGTCATGAGAATAAGAACGAATGGAAGCAGTAACCCTGGGGGCCTGTTGGGTACACGGGCAGTGTTGGGCGGAGGAGCAAGGAGACCAGAAGGGTGGCTCTGAACTGGAATGCCAGAAGTCTTTTGAATTCCATGCTAAAGATTTAAACTTTATTCTGTAAGTATGAGAGAAACATGGTTCCATGATTAGGACTCACTCCATCTCCACCAAGAACAGAGTTCAACAAAGGGGCAACTTCCAGCATGAGGGAGGAGCTGGTGAGAAGCACACAGTGGGCTTCCGGTCCACCAGTCAGTTTATTTTTAAACTGGGTGGTAGGTACACAGGTGTTCAATGTACCTGTATTAGTGTTTCTGCTGTTTTGTGTGTCTTACATATTTTAGAATAAATTTTTCAAGAAACTGGAGAGTATACTCGTAAAGACTTAAAAGGAAATGGCTGCTAATGGTGCTAGGTTTTTATTCAGGGCATTTTTGTTTCTGCATCTTGTCATCATGGATTATGCAAGATTATAAATTAGCTAAGGCTTTTTAGATCTGCCTTGTCCATAAGGATTATCTTTTGGTCATGACATTATTTATTAATATCTTAAAAAGAGAGGAAAGAAACAAAACGAAGTTGTTAACCCAACAACTTTGCAGACAAATGTACCTAAATAACATAAAGTTCTGGAAGCCAGGGATGTGACTAAAGTTTCCATTACGTTCCTTAGAAACTGCACAGTGCTATGTATGTAGTATGTTTAAATATTTGCCCAGTGAGTTTTTATTCATAAAGTTTATCGATGGCATAAATGAGTAAAACCAATAGTTTGATCTGTTCAGAGTTAAAAATGACATGCTGGCTTGTGAGTAAATCCCCATTCTCTTACCAGCAAGCCGGAATTGCATCAAGACCATTGAGTATGCACTGATTTAAAAGTTTTGCACAGGCCAGGCATAGTGGCCCACGTCTGCAATCCCAGTGCTTTGGGAGGCTAGGGGGAGTGGGTGGGCGGGGGCAGTGGGGGCAGGATGGGAAGATCTCTTAAGCTCAGAAGTTCAAACTCAGCATAGGCAGCACAGCCAGACCCTGTCTCTACAGAAATATAACAAGATTAGCCAGGCATGGTGGTGCGCACCTGCCCACACTCCTTCAGGAGCATCCAGAACAAAATGCACACCTAATGACAAGTCCCCAGCCCCTTATGGCCTATGAGCTCCTCAATAGCCTGATTTGTTTTCTACCCCAAGAGCCTAGCACCAAGCTGGTTTTTAACACGTTTCCAGAATTATTGTTTACACTTTTGTCACCAGTAAGTAAAGCTGTATCTCATTTTCAAAATAAAGGTAGTTTCAGAATAAACATAAATAAAATAATTTAAGTGCACCAGTGACTTTTAAAGGCATCATTCTGTAAATCTAGTACTCATTTTTAAAATCACATTAGTTCCCTCTACAAACGTATCCTGCAAATAATTTGTCACTTCAAAATAAGGCACAAGAAAACATGCCTTTTCTTTTTGTTTTTCATAACTCTTTAAGTAATTTTAAGTTCATTATAATTGCTTCTTCATAATTTTAGGTTCATTCACTTTTTAATAACTCATCAGACATCCCCTACAGAAAAAAAAAATTTCTCTTTTCATTTATTAATTCAGAGGTAGCCAATAAAAATGTTTCTGAATAACTATCTATCTTCATCACAACTGACAAACTAGTTATTCTGTTCTCGTCAAACAGACTTACTTATCTTGCACAAACTGGCTTTCACAAGAAGGCCTGAATTAGAAGTGGACTAGTTTCACCTCACCTTGATCACATTTATGTTGTTTTTAATTTGCTCTCATGATACATAAACTGCCTAATGACTTTTTTTAATCTTAAAAACAGGTAGTAATATGGAATTTAAAGTAATCACATGCTTAACACCTTAGCCTCCAAAACACAATGTCACAGAGACATAAATACACAGGATTCTTTGTTAAAAAATATATATTCTTCATTTATCTCAATAATGTCCATTTGCCTTCCACATGCAAAACCTGAAACATGATTTTTTTAAAAAAACTTGCACTGCTGTTAAGTATAGATGATACTGTTGACAGGAATCAGAGAATATTCCACACCCAAATACGCTACTTTGGCATTAGGATTACTTTGAGCTGAAGGCAGCTGAGACACAGCAGATACAGGAAGAGTTCTCTGCCCTCTCCCTAACTGCCTAAGGCAGGACATAATTTCCCTGTGGAAAGGTCATATGAATTTCCATATGTAAAGGTGTTTCCCTGTCCCTTATTAGGAGACCAGAAACTGGCAAAATAAACCTGCATAGCAAACCTTATTACCATACATTTCCTAGTCATTTTCCCACAATTTACCACCCCGGGAGCTGAAATCCTCTTCTCCTTAGACTAGTCACTTCACAATTTATCAGCCTTTGTTAAAAATCACATACAAACCCATTCTTTAGCCAAGCACAGAAGGGCACAACTACAGTCCCTGCTACTCAGGAAGCTCAAACAGAAGAATCGCTTGAGTTCGGGAGTTTGAGTCCAGCCCTGGCAACACAGCAAGACCCCCGTCTCTTTAAAATAAAGATAAACATAAAAATAACCCCTCCTTCCCTGTGCATGTAAAAACACTAACATCAATAAAATGTGTATGCCTCTACTCCTGTTAATCTGTCTCTTAATCTCTTAATTCACAAGCCCTAGCTACCCTACGAGGGTAAAGGAACAGTCTGCTCTCCCCTATACTGTAACATGACAGCCACTAAGAGGTAGGTTCTAAAGTACTAGACTTGAATTAAGCTTGAATTAGAATCCTCATCCGTCACCTTATGATGAGAACTTGGGCAAAACATCCAACCCCTCCAGACCTATTTCTTTGCCTGTAAAATGAATGTAATAATAGTAACTACTCCTCCTAGGATTGCAGTGAAATAAGTGAAACTATGTAAACTACTTCACACAATGCCTAGAACATAGTAACCATCTAAAATATGTTAAACTGTCATTAGTATTATCCAATGAAATGGAACTTTTTATTCAAAACTGTGTTAAGTGATTAATGGACAAGAGAAATAGCTACCTAGTCTATCTCTCCCCACAAAGTCTTTGATTACATAGAAGTACAGCCATAAAGAATTTCAATTTGAATAAGATTACATATAAAATTTACACTGTTTATATAATTACTTGAACTTTCAAATGTATTTTATGCCAATGAAATATACCACCAGTTAATCATTATAAGATTTCTGCTGTAAAGCATACAAAAACTATAGTCTTTTTCTACCCAGTTTAAAACGTTTCATTGAATAGTAAAATTATTATGCCCTTCTGAAATAAGATCAAAATAGCGAACAGCTACTTGCCCGATAATCAATACAAACACAATTATCATGCAATAAATGGAACCTAACAGATGACAAAGTTCTTTTTTTCCTTTTGCTTTCTTTAGCAAAGCCTTCTTCATAAGCTTTCAAAACAGTACTTCACACGCAAAACTGTAATGACTAGGTGTTTGGACCATCACGGCTCACTGCTCTCTCATTGTTCTTACCATGTCTAGTGAATAAACTGGCTGACTGCATTCAATGAGGCACATGGCTGTTTCCATAGTAATAAGAATGCTGGTTCTTTCAACTCCAGCACTGCAAGAAACAACAAGGAGTTTTTCCTTGCCAACCCTCTTATTTTGCACATGAAAAACAAAATCCAGAAAGTCATTGAATCATCAGGGTCTCCATGGTCAGGCCAACCTGTGTACTGGATCTGAGTGACTGATGACTCTCATTTTTCTCTTGGTTAAACAGCAGTGTGATCTTCCCGAAGATAAAGGCAGTGCTTCCTTCTTCTGAGTGGCAGAAGGCTTGGTAGCAGCCATAGGATGAACTTCTGGGTTCTGGCCAATATTGGGGTCATTTAACTCTGCCACATTCCACTTGTGTGGTCAACATTACAACCATGGAGTAGACTTGTTCCTAAGTCATCTGCCAAAAATCTGTTCAAGTGTGTGGTAACACCCCTTGACAAGCACTGTTCTGGCTTCTAACGCTGGAATTGCGCTGATGTAGTCTTCATTACCTTTTAAAATAATCCATGTAGTATCATAAGGCAAACTATCTCTGTATCTATTTTTGGAAAGGTTCTAAGGTAATCTGGCACCAGACATTGTCATTCCAAGTTTTCTTTTTGATAAGCTGATCAAATTGTGTCCAGAATGTTCCAGCGGTAAGCCCTTGGCTAGCTGGATCACTGACTCCCACAGGAAATGGTCATCCTGGTGGACACTATCTAGTGGGTCTTTCTCCAGAATGTACTGGAAGTCTGTCCTGTTTTCTAGCACTTCTTCCACTACATCATATGCAGCACAGGTAGAACTAAAAGCATGAGTTCCCCAGAATGTCTCTCACAGTTAGCTTTAATAAGCAGGAAAACCCAATCATGGATGTGTCTGTAAAGTCCCAACCACTGATCAATACAACTAGGTCTTCTCTTCAATCGAGGGTCACCGAGTTCAGGTGCTTCTCAGGACACGATCACAGCCATCTTCGGACCATATTCCCCTTTACATTGACTCCATACCTTCCATTTTCATCAGGTTCACTCTGATTAGAACAAGATGATCATGTAGAACACCACCATTAGGAGTAGATTTTTTAAGAGAAGATGTAACATCAATGTTTCATTAATATGATCTTCCAGATCTTGTTGGAAATGTAAATAATGAATTTGGTTCCAACTGCTTTTCTTAGATTGTTTGGGTGGTAAAGCCGGAGACTACCCATCTCAGGGGTGTCCTGTAATGGTGGATGATTCCAGAGTGATGCTATCAGCTTGTGCTGATAATGGTGATCTCTGATTCGCAAATACTTTGGAAGAAGTGTGAACCACATAATCTACCAAATGACCAACTGAAGACGGTCATAATCAGGTTCCCTCTTGTATGAATGCAAAATTTTGATGAGTAGGAATTCCTGTTCCAGGTGGCAGCTGTGATGGAAGGCTTTACGTTTCCAATCCTTTCATCAGATATTGAATTCCTGCTTACTACTTCCCAATTCATTAATTTCCACGTCAATGGCTTACTTGAGGATCCTGCAAATTGTCTTTATTTGCCTTTTCTTTGCCATACTGAATTAATTGAACTTCAGTTCTCCCACGGTGCATTAGGAATTTTGAACCTAATGTAAAATAATGTGCAAAAAAATTATTTCTAGTTGGAAGTGGTCTGTCCAAACAGAAGAATATGTGATGTTCTAAACTTGCTTTCCACAAACGTTTACATGCTCTACAATTTATCATATTAAATCCTGATAATCTTTCTCCAGATTTATGCAAGCCATTTTCAAAGCTGAATAAAAAACTGTTTGCACTTAAAACAAATTTTTACAATCTTCGACCATGGAAAGGTACTCATTCGTAGTCTCTTATAAATCAGAATTTCTCTTGATGTCATTCCAATCATAATTTCATTGTTACTTTGATTCCTTGCATAGTGGAATTCAACTCCACCGAGTTCTAAGGTACTTGCTGTGTTTAGGTAATTAACTTCTGCTTCTCAAGGACATAAGCCTATATGTTGCTGATGTCACTTTTACAATTTATTTTTCAAAATTTTGAGGATGATCAGGAATGAAAGAATAACCTGAGAGGTGGCCTAGCAAGTTCTCTGACTGACTGTAGTCTCCAAGTTTAGTCTGAATAGCAAATAAAGGAAAAAGGACAGTAGTATCGTAAGAACAGGGCAATCTTCCAGTAAGAATGTCTTGTTAAATTTGTAAAAAATACTAGTAGCGGGCTATCCATGGAATCATCAGCCACCTGTAAATCAACATAGTCTTGCTCAGTAAAATCAGGATGGTCGCAGACTACATCTGACAGAACTTGCCACTGATCATGTTTATTCGCACTGAAAGCTTACACAGTGTTTTCCAGAAGGATGTTACAAGCCTCTGTATGCTGTCTGTCTCAGGCCAACTCTGGCGCTCGTACATTGGAGATTGTGGGTTCTGCCAGCAGGAAATTGAAAATGTGAGGTCATGACTGTACACACAAGGTCTTTGTATCACAGCTGTGTCCTCTCAGCTGAAGAAAGAAAGCATCAAAGCCAGGCAGTGATGGGGAGCGGCATGTCTGCTCTACCACCCACAGCAACCACGTCATGCTGTGGAACTGCCATGGCCTGCGCCACCCAGGAAGGCCATGAAGTTCTTTCTCACACACTTAGCATGCATGTGTCTTTTGGCACTGCCCTTATTTTACATCCTGTCTTTTGGTACTGTTCTTATTTTAGAGGGTGTGTTTTTTCTGAGTATCCATGATGTACCAGTCACTGAGCTAGGCAGTTTCACATATTATCGCATTTTGTCTTCAAAATAGCATGACAAAAAGTATTCCATTTAAGGATGAGGATCTTGAGACTGAGAAGTTGACACTTACTCCACATGACATACGGAATGGCAGAGAAATAGGAATTACACCGAGGTTTCTCACTCCGAGATCCCAAAATCTTTTGACTGTGATAAAACTATTCTCTGCAAAAATTCCAAATAAAAAATGTCAAGTGAGACGGCTTCTCATATATTAGAAGCTTATATAATTTTTTTCACTTTGAATATCAATCACAGAATTATAAGGAACCCGTAAAAAAAAATCAAAAACCAACAAAAAATTTTTTCCTACATAAACACAAATTAAGCCCGGAAGCAATGCAATATGAAAGTGCACCAAGAGCTGGCATTCACTACATCACACCCAACTTTTAGGTGAACCACCTGCTTATATACGCAACAGTCACCCAGTTAAGTAACCATCTGACATAGTTGTATTCCTCCTTTATTTCCTCAGTTCTTTGTTTATTTCTTTCATTTGTGAACTATCTCAGCAAATATTCAAGTTTTCTTTTAAGTGACATCTTTCTGCACTGCTAAATTATGTGTTACTTTAGGGTAGACACTATGCATTTTGTCAATCCAGAACATTAGCACCTATTAACAGTAGGTGGTTAGCACTTAATATGTGGCTGGGACTTAATACGACTCTCCTTTCCAGGTATCATCACCCTTATTTCTTTCTGCCCCTGGAATTCTCATGACAAGCTGGAGCACAGTAAAGTCATCTTCTAAATATTACTTACACTTATACACATACACAGTACTCTAAAATCTTCAAGCAACACTTTCTTATTTGGGGTTTTCATGTCTGGTGCCTACAGAGAAACAGAAGAAACAACATAAAATCTTGGAGAATTGCATAGGCTCAAAAATTACAAAAAGTACTGGTTTTGATTCACAGCTAAACCAAGGATTTTCTGCACTGCTGGCTGCTGAACTTCTCTGACTTTGCTCATTCTGCCTTACTCTTGAGGGTGGAGTTCATGTTTCTTCCTCCTTCATCTATTTAAGGAAAGAATGAATCGGACTCACTAGACCTGGGTACCCTGTTAGAACAAAACTTACCAACTAGTAATGCCATTCAAAAATCTCCATCCCTTAAAAGTGAGATTCAGCTACATTTCCACAGAAACACAAACTAGAATTCCCTAGAGTACTCCGCCTTTTCTCTCTCCCTTTTTTTTTTTTTTTTGAGATGGAATTTTACTCTTGTTGCCCAGGCTGGAGTGCAATGGCATGATCTCAGCTCACCACAACCTCTGTCTCCTGGGTCCAAGTGATTCTCCTGCCTCAGCCTCCCAAGTAGCTGAGATTACAGGCATGCGCCACCATGCTCGGCAAATTTTGTATTTTTAGTAGAGACAGGGTTTCTCCATGTTGGTCAGGCTGGTCTCGAACTCCCAACCTCAGGTGATCCACCTGCCTCAGCCTCCCAAAGTGCTGGGATTACAGGCATGAGCCACCGCACCTGGCCCTTTTTTCTTTTTTTCTTTTGAGACAGGGTCTTACCTTGTCGCCCAAGTTGGAGCCTCCACCTCCCAGGTTCAAGCGATTCTCCCACCTCAGACTCCTGAGTAGCTAGGACTACAGGCATATGCCACCAGGCCCAGCAAGTTTCTGTATTTTTTGGTAGAGACGGGGTTTCACAATGTTGGCCAGACTGGTCTCGAATGCCTGACCTCAAGTGATCCACCCGCCTTGGCCTCCCAAAGTGCTGGGATTACAGGCATGAGCCACACCGTGCCCAGACTACTCTGCCATTTTTGTTAAAAGAAAAAGTAAAATCAAGTCATTCTCCCCTTTACTGCCATCTTCAAGAGGTTACAATGTTGCAGAGAAGATGATCCAAACATTAAAATATGATAGTTATGTTAGTATTATATATGTTAATATTACATAAAAATTACCCTGACATTGAGATGGGGTAAGATCATGACAGATGGAGAAAAGCTAGGGCTTGAGCTGGAATTCCAGAAAGGAGAGGTCTAATGTGGGGAGGGGCGGCCCAGAAGGAAAACCAGGACTAGAATGAAACCAAGGAATGGAAAAGTTAACCGGGCCAGAATTTAGAGAACCTTGAATGCCATGCTTCAAACTCCTCATGTTTATTATGTTATCAATTGAAAACCTTTTCCCTAAACATTCCATGTTAATTACGCATGTTCCAAGTAAAAATTCAAAGTAATTTTTATAGCCTTCTCCACTAACCCAAGCAAAGAGTTACTTTAAAGAGTTACTTTATCTCTCTGTACAGCAAAGCTAATAAACACACCTCTAATTTCAGTGTTATCCTATTTTGTAATTGGCAGTTCATGTCTTTTCTAGATGAATACCTTGAGAGTAGGGGTCTCATTTCAAGCAATATAACCACATTGCCAGGCAGAGCATCTTCAGAAAATGAGTGACTGAAACTCCTGGCTAGACTACTACAGATGTGAACCATGGGTATTCCCCTTTCCTTGTCTGTAAAAGAGGAAGAATAGTGCCTACCTTGTAAAGATGAAATTATTTACATAAGAGAACAATACTTGCACACAGCAGCACTCACTAACTGCGACTGAGTGTGCTACTAACCCACCCTCTTCTTTTTCCTCCACGTTCAATCACAAAGTCCTATCAGCTACCACTAAAATAGATTTGGAATTCTTTTCAATCTCAACATCCACTCTTTCCACTCCCCTAACCATCATTTCTCACCTGGATGACTACATTACCTTTCAAGCTTGCCCTTTTACAGAGCTCCACACAAATGTCACTTGCTCTGGAAGATTTTCCAAACCCCGACCTTGCACCCACCAGGCTAAACAACCTGGCACGGCACAGTAAATTTTCACTTTCTTGTTATTGTTTGTCTTCCCACACTAAAATGTGAACTCCATAATGGCAGGTACATTGTCTATCAAACATTGTATGCCTTAGTACCCAGCACAGCACCTGGAACAATGTGCACACGGGAATATCGCAGGGATTAAGGGATCTAGGTTCTAGAGATCCCTTACTGAAGTCATTACTTACTACTGAATTGTCCAACTACTAACATCAACCTCTAGTTAAGAAACCATAATGAGAAAATAGTAAAGGAAAAACTAACTTCTGATTCCATTTGAGAAGCATCAGCTCCACAAAATTAGACAAATATACACAAGAGGGAAAGTAAACTAGGTATATACGGAGTGCTGTTTTCCCTTGCCCTCCATCGTAATGGCACAGAGGTATCCCCATAGGTACACAGGTATATTTTGTGCTACTGTACTAAAAAACTCATCTAAGAAGTTCATTTAACTGAAGAATCTTCCCATAATTCAAACACCTACTTAAAAGCTCTTGGAAGAAATCTAAAATTACACACCAAATTGGTACATACCTGGGAAAGGTGTACGTAGTGTAGGAGTAGGGGAAACTTTAACTTTCTCAAAATATTGTGGCAGTGTTTGAATGCATAATTGCATCTGTGATTTTAAAATAGAAAAATAAGGCATTAAAAAACTATACACCAATGCAACCTGAAATAACTGGTTTGTTCACAGAGGTTTATATTTATAAAGTGTAAATATAGAGTTTTAGTTATATTTCTTTAGGATTCTCCTCTAAGTCTAGTAAGTTAACCAGTTCCCTAATCAGAATTTAATTGTGTTAGACTGGAATTGATTTGATTGGGAAATGTTTAATTTCCTATAGTAAAAGTTTTTATTATCCTGCTTAAACAAGCTAATGCAGAGACACACCCAAACCTACACAGTCCTATTACTCTCAGCTAAAGTGCTAAAGTGAAGGAAGCAATTTAAGATCTATTTAAGGTCTTCACATGAATGACAAATAAGCACAGAAGAGTAAAATTAAGGATACAAGCTACAATTCATATTCTTGTTAGGATTACAGATATCCGAGATGGCGCTGGGCAACATTTTGGCAGAAGTGCAGAAAGAATGTAGAAATGTCATAAAAGGGGGTAGGCTAGATGACTTATAAGCTCCCTTCTCCAGTTATAAGTAAACATGTTCCATTCTAATGAATGGTTGCTTTTACAGCAAGATTCAGAATATAAATTTAACTCATTAGGAGTTTAGGATGAATTTGATGAGTCAGTGCTACAAAAAGAAAGATCCAGTTATAAATGGTCTCTAGATAAAAAGCCTTGACTGTTTCTGAGGAACTTGGAACAATGTTTCAGTTAAAAGTATGAATCAGCTAAACATGGTGGATCACGGAGGGATCACTTGAGCCCAGGAGCTCAAAACCAGCCTGGGCAACATGGCAAAATCTCATCTCTAACCCCTCTCCAGGCCAAAAAAAAAAAAAAACCAAAAAAATTAGCTGGGCATGGTGCTGTGCACTTGTAGTCCCAGCTACTCAGGAGGCTGAGGTGGGAGGACCACTTGAGCCCAGAGACAGACATTGCAATGAGTGGAGATTGCACCACTGCACTCTAGTTTGGGCAACAGTGTGAGATTCTGTCTCACAAAAAAAAGTATGACTCCTTGGAGAAGTTAAGGGCATATTAGAGAAATGTCAAAATCTTAAATTCTTTATCTTCTTTCTTGTGTTTTTCAAACTATTTTACACTTAAAGCAGGTCAACTGAAAACCTAACTTTATTTTATATAAACTTAAGAACTGTGCATTTTGTTATGTTACATTAGCATTTGGGGAAGGGGGGATTAGCAGTCAGAGCCACTAATGTAAAATATATTCTGAAGAAAATTCCAAGTGTTATCAAGTGATTTAAGCAAGATAAATTGGTAATTAAAATATTTATTAGGGGCTGGGCATGGTGGCTCACACCTGTAATCCCAGCACTTTGGGAGGCCAAGGCAGAAGGATCACCTGAGGCCAGGAATTCAAGACCAGCTTGGGCAACATAGCAAGACCCGATTTCTACAAAAACTTTTAAAAATTAGCTAGAAATAATGGCACAGCAGCTGCTCGGGAGGGTCGCTTGAACCCAGGCATTCAAGGCTGCAATGAGCCATGATTGTGCCACTGCACTAGAGCCTGGGTGACAGAAAAAGACCCCGACTCAACAAAACCCAAACCCCAATCTATTATGTGTTGATAATTTTTTGGCCTACAAATTTCAATGATCAGTTTTCAGTGTATTGCATAGGAATGGGGAAAAGAAATTTTTTTAAAAAGAAGCAAAGAAAAAAGAATTCTGACATCTGAAGACATTCTATTAACTTTTATCAGCTTCACAAAACATGCTAAAAATATTTTCCATTATTGATCATAACTATTACAATTATTGTTTATGCAGCTATCTCAACATTTAGGATATATCTAGATTCCTAGGATAGAATTCTAGGCTATAAACTAAGATAAATCTAGTTTCACTTTAACTCACGATGATAGAATTTAAGGTAACTTCATTCCTTTTTCATGAGTCCCATCTACTCCTCTGCCAGTACTCCAGCTTTCCTTTTAATCTCCCGTAAGATTTCCTTAAACTCCAGCTCAAGAATATACATATGGCCTCTTATTCTGAGTCTCTAAGCATTCCACATTCAAGTTACTTCCTATCCTACAGACAGGGCTTTTAAGTGGTAAACAAACCAAATACCAGTATACTCACCACATCATACACAATTAACAGTCTTAGAAGTGAAATTACCTTTATCAAGATTTCAGTTATTTCCACATATATCATATATATGATATATATAAGTCAATTCTTAACTGATTCTGAAATTACCGTCTTGTGATTACATATATCATATGATATATGTATCAGTTAATTCTTTATTGATTCTGAAATTACCATCTTGTGATTATATATATCATATGTGATATATTATATGTATGATTACATGATATATATTATATATGATATATATGATTATATATGATATATATGATTACATATGATACATAATATATAATCACAAGATGGTAATTTCAGAATATATGTATATAATCACAAGAATACATCTATATAATCACAAGATGGTAATTTCAGAATATACGTATATAATCACAAGAATACATCTATATAATCACAAGATGGTAATTTCAGAATATATGTATATAATCACAAGAATACATATATATAATCACAAGATGGTAATTTCGGAATTAGTTAAGAATTAAAAGAATACCAAAATATGAATAAGTTATTACATAGAATACAGATTTGTTCTGAAAATAAAACAGTTAATCAAATGTTCTACTTAAGGGATATGTGAAAGTAAATCTGTAAATAAGAAACTAAAAGATTATGGGAAAGTAAGTAAACTTACTACAGAAAACCAGGTTCTCTGTTAAAGAAAGCAGAGACCAAAATGCATTAACATATAAATACCTAAAAAATAAGGCAAGTTAAACTAAGAAATAACTACAAAATACTGAATAGGCAGAACTATGGATTTCATTATTGTGGTGGGTTGAAGGGCAGCCCCTCAAAAAATGTGTCCACATCCTAAGCCCTGGAACCTGTGAATGTTTTCTTACTTGGAAAAAGGCTCTTTGCAGTTACAGTTAAATTAAGGATCTTGAGATGAAGAGATCATCCTGGATTATCCAGGTGGGCTCTAAACCCAATGACAAGCACCCTTCTAAGAGAAAGGCAGAGTGAGATGTGAGGCAGAAGAGGTGGCAGCAAGGACTGTAAGGCAGAGGTTCAGTCACCAGAGGCTGAAAGCCACAAGAACAGATTCCCCTCTAGGGCCTCCAGAGGGAGTACAACTGAGCCTACACCTTGATTTCAAACTGTTGGCCTCCAGAATCACGAGAAATTAAGTTTCTTAAGCCATTTGGTTTGAGGTGATCTGTTTTGGCAGCACAGGAAAGTAACATTGATTCAAAAGTAACTTGAATCAATGCCTCTCAACATAGTAGAGAAATTTCAGTTGATTTTCAATGAGTATCAAATTACGTGAAATATAAAAAAAAACTTAAAATTCTTATTACTCATTCTAAAGATATAAATGGTGAAGAAAGTACCCATTTGAGTTTCAGCACCAATGAGAGATTCTGGAAGGACCTAAAAGGATAAACGAGTTGTAAGGAACAATTTTAGCAGCACTGACTGAAATATTTCTCTATCTCAGAGATACATATGAAAATAAAGTAGTGAAATTAGGGAAGAAAAAGGACCAGAATCCAAGGAAAATTCAAGTAAACTTGTTGGAAGCAGGTTTACCTGCCAAGCATAGATCATAAATCTCATGGACCTACTACTACTTCTCTTCAGCTTAAAAATTCTATGTAAAAGAAAATATTCTTCTGCTAGAACTACTATGAACCACTTATTTTTTAAACCTAGAGTTGAAAGGCATAAAAATGTCATTAAAAAATTTTTTTATTTTAAAATGTCTCTTTAATATATGTAAATTAATAAACTTTTTATTTAAAAACTTATAACCTCTTAAATTACTAAAACTCCCTTCAGAAATGAGTCAACAATACTTTATACAGAACAAGAGAATCATCACTAGCCTTGCAAACGAAAGCTGATAAAAACAATTCAAGAAAAAAAGAGTATCCTAACAAAACAAGAAAAGCAAACTAAAAATTTTAATCAAAACATCTCAGTGACAAAGTTAATGGTACAAAGTCACAGGTAAAAAATATGGTGACAGAACGTCACTATAAATCTTTTTCCCTTGGGTCTTATGTTTGAAGATAGCTATTTATTCCTCTATTGGTTTAATCTTAAAAGAAACAATCAAAAATATTGAAAGGTAGCTTTGTGTACACAGGAAACCCAGATTCCAGAAAAAGACCCTAATAAATTCAAAATACCCTGCTCTCTGTTAGTAAACAGAAAATAATTATTTGTCCCCTCCAAACAATAAAAATAAAAATGCAGGAATAAGAAACTCTTGCTTTTAAATTTGTATTAAATGTTCATAACTTGCATTTGAGGATCAATGGGCAATTAGTTAGTTCTAGGATTCCTAAAGAACTTCATCAAGGAACACACATTAAACAAAATTTTGAATTGTACTTAAGTCAGGCATCCTTTCATAAGTGCATGAAAATTAGTGCTGGACGCTAGTTCCTTTGATTTGAATGGGGCGGGGGGAAATGATTAGATTAAATGTTTTCAAAATCACTTGCTAGGAAATCAAGAAGTAAATTGGAGCTCTGAAGTCAGCAGTATATAAGGTAAGATATGTAATTTCAGAAACACTGCTAGGTTTTACAGCCATTTAAAAAAATAAGAACTTGCCAAACCAAAAAATCCTTCAATGGTGTATTCTGCATCATATTGTGTACTCTTTGAACAAAAATAACCTAACCCGCCACAGATAGAATTATTTTTTTAAGAGTGAATGACTTTGTGTTCTGAGATTATATCCCAACCCAGGCCAGTTGTCATATGACGTGAAAGTAAAAACTTAATCATGATAAAACTCAGACATTTAGACAAACTTGGTGGAGTTACCATACAAAGGGAAAAAATTAGCCTGAATTATTGAAATTTTTAAGTGAGGCTCATTTTAAACGTCAATTGCCAGGAAACCATGATCTGGAATAGTATCTTCTTTTCTTTCCAAGGAGACATTTACAGATACTGGTTTAAATGGAGGCCCTGGCCTCTCCAAATTCCTTCCCCCCAAACAACTTCCAACTGGGACCATCAAGGGTCGATCAGCAGTGCAACTGCAAACTAAATATAGTAGCTGACTGACCACAGGGTAAAAACAGCTGCTGCAGGTGGAAAAAAAAAGTTAAAAAGACAAAATGATACCGTCCCATTTTCCCCATCCCACCCTAACCCTACCAAGAAAAGTAAAAGAGGACTAAGTGGACATTAGGAATAACCAAGAATAAAGCTGTTCTTTCAAATTGAGAAATAAAAGAAAAATTCACATTTGTTATTTCTTATAAGACTTCAAATACCTACTGTTAAAGAGGGCCTTCTACTTTTATGGTTTGTTTCTCAAGTTTAATCTACGAATCCAATCTCTACAGAGAAACAGTAGCAGAAAGAAAGTAATCAGACAACAGATCACCCACACATTTAAGCCCAGTTAAAGTTGGCAAGAATTGTATCTAGTTAGGTTTCTACCGTAACAAATGTATTTATTTCCTCGCCCAGCTTTCACTTGTCCTGGGGGAAGAACACAAGACCGAATTGTACTTCTGTTTCAAGAGAAGGTCATTGTAAAAGCGCACTTCGGAGTGTAGACGTCTCCGATCTGTTCCAACATGACCACCTCTTTGGACCAAAGGCCAAAAACTGCTAAACGCGTGCCCTATTTAAAACGTGCATCTGCACCCACTTTTCTAAGTAGCATCGGACCCAGGCGAGGGGCGGGGAAAGGGGCGGCGGGTCCCACTTGTAGCCTCAGGACGACGCGGCCACAGCTTCCTAGAGAGAGATCTCGGCAGACCGGCAGGAAGCATGCGGAGAGGAAGGCGGGGAGGCGGCACGTGCTCTACGTGCTGGGTCCGCCGGGCCGGCCGGGTGACCCTCGCCAGCTGGTGGGGACCGGAGGGGTCCACGCCTCCGGGAGCTCGGGTGGACGCCGAGACCTGGGAGCGGTAGGCGGCTCACCTGGACCCCGGTGTAATTCTCGAAGAAGAAGAGCACCATGCTCTGGTAGACGCAGTAGAGCCGGTCGTCCAGCGCCTGGTAGAAGCGGGCGGGCAGGAAAGCGGAGAGCAGCCGCCAGACCCCCCAGGCCAGCACGTAGGTGGGCGCCGTGCCCAGGAGCACGACGCTGGGCAGCAGGTAGCGCATGGAGTACGTGTGGAGTACCAGGGACAGCAGCATCTTCTCTGCTCCGCAGCAGCGGGCTCCGCCTGCGCTCCCCGCCCGCCGCCGGGGCCTCAGTCGCGGCCAGCAGGCGGCCAATCACCGCCTGGGCCCGGGCCGCCGCGCCCGCCACCCGCTCCCAGCCTCCGCCCCCAGCCGCATGGGCCGCGCCGCCGCCGGGGGCCGGGTAGGCGAGTGCGGGGCTGCGAGCGCTGCTCGCGGCTGCAAGGCAAGGGAAGCCGCGGCCCTCCCGGATCCACAGCTCAGGGATGCTCACACCCCATGACCCTCACCCATCGCCACATCCCCCCGCCGGGGGAGGGGGCTCCGCGGCAATAACGCGCCTTCTGATTGGTCATACGTTGCCATAGGTACCTGTCGGCGGCAATAACACGTATCTTGATTGGTTGATTTGGGCCGACAGTTAAAGTACAGCTACCTACCGGGAGCGCGGGCAAACCAGCTCAGGCCACTGCGCATGCTCCCCAGCTGGGCCGGCTGCGGACGCTGGAAGGGAGGTGGCGACTGGCGGAGCTAGGTGAAGGTGGGTGCGGGCTGGAGGAGGGTTCGGGTGACTCGTCCTGCTCCCTCGGCCGGACGTGCGCGCGGGCAGGTTTAAGGGGCGCTGGAGGTACCTGGAACGCGCACCTCCTGCTCACAGGCCCCTGGGCGCCGGGATGTACACAATCAGAGCAGTGAGAAAGGGGGTGTTTGGGTTATCAGAGGTCCCAGTCTTGCAGGCACCTGGGCCCAGGTCGAAGGGCAGCTCGGGTGTCCCCATCTGCTCACTGCCAGTCCTTAGCAAGGGGACGCCGCCTCCTCAGCCTCCCCTCTGAGTGCGCAGCAGCCCCTCCTGCTCGTCTCTCTCTACCAGGGTGTTTCAGAATTAGGGTCCGTGTTTTTCCCATCACAGTAATGATGATAATTACATGTTTATGCATAGCAGAAGAACCACCCCACAAGGATATTTCCATACTGTTTATTAGACCTTTTCAGAATTCACTCTTGCTTCATTTCCTCAGAGCCTGTTGGACTTGTTTCTGATTTTTTTTTTTTTAAATAAGGAGCCTTGTTTTTTTTTTTGTAGTAATAAAAGTACTTGCGTGCACATGTAGAATCCATAAAATACATACTTTTGCAGCCTTCACTAAAAGCTAGGAAGGCTGGATAGCTGTTTTATTGATGTTAAAGCAGATCCACAGGCCTTCTGGATCTTTCTCCCCCCCCCTTTGGCTGCAGTAAAAATGGTTTAATATGTAACCCTTTTCAAGGATAGTTGTACTTTAAAAGAATGCCAAATGCTTTACCATATATATATATATTCCACTCCCCCACCACCACCATAATGGAAGCCCATGCTACCTTTAGGCAGGACGGCATTTCAGTGGAAAGTTCTAATCTGGGCCACGATGGTAGCTACTTTCTTTATCATGATTAACATCAAGTTACAACATCATTGGTAGATGGTGACCTTTGGGGACAAAGCCAGGTGAATAGAGGTCTCTCAAGTAACAAGTATTTGAAGGCCAGCAGGAAGCATTACACAGTACAAAGAACTTCTCTCCCTTTCTGTGGCTGCCATTGCCCTGTACTATAAGAAGCACTAGGTTTAGTACCGGAGGGAAAAAGTCACGGGTGTGGACAATGTGCACAACTAATGCTCCTTATGCTTTCTTTAACGGAGATCAGACATCCCTACACTAGAACGATGTGTGAAAAGATAAAGCAGGTTCTGTGTTCATGTTAGGATTGCTATGTACAAAGTCAATAAATATGTGTTTACGTGTAAATTTGTTACTGTGAATCACCCCAGGTGTTAATCACCAAGTTGTAAAGTTTTGTTCAATGTTTGGCATGAAAACACAGAACTTTCTCTTGCTCCCTCTTTATGTCCAAACCCAGCTCCTGACTTATCAGTTATTCTCTGTGCTGCTCCCACTCCTCTCTTCCTTTGAACAGTCACAGATCCACCCTCTCTTTCTGCCACTACCCGGCTCTGTTTTTCTGTTTTTTTCTCCCTTTTCAGTGCATACCTCTTAGTTGATCAGCCTACACCCTCTGCCTCCTTACCTTGTACTTTTGTTGAGCCCTTGCAGTCTGATGACCTTTTCCACCCCTCTACTGGAGTGGTGCTTCTTTCAGAGCACAGCCGACTTCCTCCTCTGCATACCCTGCTGGGCACCAGTGGAACAGTGAAAGGTGAAGTCTGTCTATGTCTTCCTTGTACAACATTTAACAAGGAGTTCCCTGTGGGATGAAAAGGGAACATTCGTGGTTCTATGGGAGCATATATCAAGGCAATCTAATTTAGTCTGGAGACAAGGAAGGCTTCTCAGGCGAAATGGTATTTCAGGTGAAGCTTGAGGGACTTAGTGGGCCTTCCACGGGAGAATGGCACATTTGAACGCCTGAAGCTGAGAAAACACCATATTCTCATGCTTAGCACTGGAGTGGGCCACAATGTTCTTTTAAAAATTTGTTGAGATGCCCCTTGAAAGAATGCTGTGTATTCCTATCACACATTATTAAATTGATATTTAAATGTTTTTATCAGCTGGGCATGATAATACTTGTAATTCCAGCACTTTAGGAGGCCAAGGAGGAAGGATCACTTAAGCGATTTGTAGAGTGAGATCTCCATCTCTACAAATATATACTTTTTAATTAGCTGGATGTGATTGTTCGTGCCTGTAGCCCCAGCTACCCAGGAGGCTGAGTTGGGAGGATTGCTTGAGCCCAGGAGTTCAAAGCTGCTATGAGCCATGATCGCGTCACTGCAATCCAGCCTGAGTGAAAGAGAAAGACCCTGTCTCAAGAAAAAGGGGGGGGGCTTTTAATGATAAATTTTAAAAGGCTTTTAACTATAAATTTAAGTAGTTACGAAAGAAGTTGTGATGAGTTGTGAGTGAGGTTTTGAAGATAAAGTGATTACAGAAAATGTTTAAATGTATGCAATGAGTTATAAATACTATAGTGATTTAATATCCACCCCATCGTTCATTTCAAAAATACTGAAGCCTTTGACCAGTTGAAAATTTTGCATTGATCATTTTTCTCCCTGAAAAAATTTTTATTTCAATTCTACCACAGGATTCTATTGTAAGTGAATATGCTCTATCCTTTAAAGTTTTTTATCAGACTGTATCATTAGGGTTCTAAGAAGCAAGTTTTCTTCTGGATTGAACTGTTACTATTATTAGCAATACACAGTTTAATCAATGTGTTTCACAAAATCTGACAAGGAACTGTAGGCAAAAAAAAAAAAAAAAGTTTTACTAGAAATGCATCTCTTAATGGTCCCTTCATTAAAATAAATTTTCTCTGTTGGTGTCCTCAGGGTTATCATACCTTTCTACCTCAGCAGGGCAGCACCATGTAGTAAGATTTGGGATGTACCAGGTGGGAGAGGAGCCATTATGAAGTGCCGGGTGGGCCTGGACTCCAGGAGTCCTCAGTCAGATAACTTTTAGAAGAGTTGGGATCTGAAAAACTGAATCCCTTGAAACTGCTCATGACCACATGTGTCCATATTCTCAGGGATATGCATGCCTCCATTCGAAGATTGTTTTTACAGAAATAATTGGGGTAAGGGAAGGAGACAAGGATGGTAGGGATTGAGTCTGGAAAGATAGGCAAGAACCAGATGACAGCAGGGTCTTGGGAGACATGTAAAGATTTTAGAGTTTATCCCAAAGGACAGGGAAGCTACTGAGATTTTAAGGAGAGGACTGACGTGCTTATATTTGGTCTTTTTAAAAGTTGTTCAGGCATTGTGGAGAGTACATTTTAAACAGTTTGGAGACTATAGCTAGACTCCCAGCTAGAAAGGATGATAGTGGCTTAGCCTTTGATGGTGAGCATATATGGAGAGAAAAACGAATCCCTCATGCACAGCATTCTTGGAAGGACATTTGACAGTATGTTCTAAGAATTGACAGCCATATGGTTTGGATCTGTGTTCCCACCCAAATCTCATTATCAGTCTTAACCCCCAGTGTTGGAGGTGGGGCCTGGTGCCAGGCGGTTGGATCATGGCGGCAGTTTTCTCATGAATAGTTATCACCATCCCTCTTGGTACTTGTCCTCAGGATAGTGAGTGATTCTGGCGAGATCTGGTGGTTGAAAATTTTGTAGCAGACCGGGCGCAGTGGCTCCCACCTGTAATCCCAGTACTTTGGGAGACTGAGGTGGGCGGATCACAAGGTCAGGAAATCGAGACCATCCTGGCTAACAAGGTGAAACCCTGTCTCTACTAAAATTACAAAAATCAGCCCGGTGTGGTGGTAGGCACCTGTAGTCCCAGCTACTCAGGAGGCTGAGGCAGGAGAATGGCGGGAACCCGGGAGGCGCAGGTTGCAGTGAGCCAAGATTGCACCACTGCACTCCAGCCTGGGCAACAGAGTGAGACTCTGTCTCAAAAAAAAAAAAAAAGAAAAGAAAAGAAAATTGTGTAGCACCTCCCCGCTCACCTCACTCTCTCTCCTGCTCTTCCTTCGCCTTTCACCACGATTTCACGTTTCCTGAGGCCTCCCCGGAAGCTGAGCAGATACCAGCACTATGCTTCCTGTACAGCCAGCAGAACTGTGAGCCAATTAAACCACTTTTCTTTATAAATTACCCAGTCTCCAGTATTTCTTTATAGCAATGCAAGGACAGCCTAATACAGACAGATACCCTTTTAATTAGTCAGTCTCCCTAAGTGCACATCATTAGCAGAAAGGGTCTGTGGATACACAGTACTGATATGTGAAATGGTGTGCAGCAGTCGGACAGGAATAAGTAGCCCTAAATGCGTACTCGTGGACAGATCACTAGGACACTAGGTGACAAAGCAAGTTGCTGGATAATACATGCACTATGATCCTATTTCTGTAAAAACTAAATAAAACTTTGGTCAGTTCCCCTTCATGCTTTTATTTTGCTGTTTGCACAGATAAAACAAGAAGGCATTCCTGTTATAAAAAGTATAAGCAATACTATGTTTTGAATATTGAATAAAATGTGGACATTTCCCTCATGCCGCACCCAGTCCCATTTTCTTACCCAGAGGTTACAGCTGTCTACTTATGCAGTAGATGCTTGGCAGTCCTTTGCCCCTTCCCTCCTTGAGGTGACTAAGATGGTCATACAGACAGCCACCCCTCCCAACAGAGCCCATGTGATCTGGGGGAAACTGACCCCACCCGTAATGGGCCACCATCAGTCTAGGGCTGTGTTTTTTTTGAAGTGTGGACCTTGAAGCCTTCAGGCTCCTCAAGACCCTTTCAGGTGGTGTGAGGGAAAAATGTTTTCACAGTAGTACTGAGACATCATTTGCCTTTTCACTATTAGATTT